TGTATGTAAACGTTTAAAAATTACATAGAATAGTGTGCTCATAGTCTAACCCTAATATACTTTAATGTAAATATGTAGTGAAACTATTCTATTTCAGTTAAAAATACTAATAACCAACTTGTTCCCTTTTTGCACACATATACTCAAATCAAATATATGTTACTATTATTTTGTATCAATAAAGAGGCAAAACTGAAATGTTAAAACTGTTATGAAATGATCATATTTGTAAAGTGATCCAAATAAGTGTAACGATTTAAACATATGGGAAATCACATTTTTCAAACCAACTGTTTTTATTTGGTTCATTACAACTTATTTGAAGTGTTAAAATCTGGTTACTAACTTATTATTTAGTAGTATGATGTAAAATGATTTATTATCGTGTGAAATTAGTTGTTCAGGCTAGTAATTTCGATAAGCAATAGAGGATTCTTTTTGTACTTACTCGACATTTATACATTATTAACATCAAGTCTTACTTTTTTAAAATTATTTGGTGTTTTTATCAAATTCTAAAATACATATTTATTTAAAATAATTCTGTTAATGAATGATTACGATGTTTGTTGATCAAAAAGTGTTGACTATCAATCTATTATTTAATCTGACATTCGAGACCAGATAAAAATATGTATTTTTAGGAGTAACTTTTAAAATAACACATTTTTTCAAGTCTTGAAACTTTTTCAGTGATAATCTGTAATATCCAACGCAAATGGGATAAAGCCATGCATCGAAATAGATTATCTGTTGGCAAAAACGTGCTTCCAGGTTTTCAATGGTGGCTTAACATTGGTCAGTTCATGATTTTACTGAAACTGAACAATCTTCACAACCCTATGCTGACATTTATCATGTGCTCGATAGTGACTGGCATGGAGAGGAAATTCTTGGAGTCTTAGTGAGAAGCCGTCACCAGTGGAGTCCAACTTCGTTGGTGTGAGTCAGTTACCCACAGAAGACAATTGTAGATAGTTGCACAAAATCGCGGATTGATTGAAGTTAGACATTGATATTGTGGGATGCTGGCTTAGTAAGCAAGAGGTTAGGTGCTTGTGCGCAAGCTGAAAGTCCTGGATCCTATTCCCACGTGCGGGTTTATGAACTGATGAGGGACAAGATGGCCCCTCTGGTGTTCCTAGGTTTTCAGTGGTAGTCTAACATTAATCGGTCCATGGTTTCAATGAGAAATGTGACTGTCTACATTTTACAGTAGAACTCCCAACATTTTAATTTTGGTTGTATTATGTTAATATCTGTTAGGTTTATAAACAAAACTGATGGATATCACTATAATAAGTTGCAGAGCCGATTATAACTGAGGAACTTTCAGATTTTTGAAGAGGGTTTAGAAATTAGTCCCATATTGAACTCAACTTGTGAATAAATATCTACAAATACAAAAAAATGATTGACATAATTATCGAATAATTTAAACGACTAATCATTGAAGTATAATGGGTGAATAGTGAGATGTTACAAAGTATTGGACGGTTATTTCATTCTGGTATGAAACTTCATAACAGAACGGGATCATATGTACTTATATTGTTGTCCAGATAAAGTTAATCCATGTTATAAAATATTTGCATATTGAACATTATCTCAACAATGAAGAAAATTTTCCTTGCTGTAACGTTTTTATTCTTTTGAAATAAAGAAATATTGATGACAACACTGACCTTAATAAACTGTTTGTTATGCAGTTAAAAACAAAAAATCAATTACTAAATTTAATTGTCCACTGATATCTGAGATTATCTTTATCAGCTAAATAATTCTTTGAAAATACATGAACAGAATCCTTTCACTAATGGAATCAAACAGCTATCAGTGATTCAGTGGAATCGCAGAAGAAAAATTCTATAAGATAGGAAATATAACATTAGGTATTCGTATTATAGTTAAATGGTTGAAATTGTGATTGATGAAGTAACATTGTCTGAAATGCAAACATACTATAAGATGTACTTTACTCCTTAAAAATGTTCCATATATGTGGCCAATAATGAAACCAGCTTTTTTAATGTATGACATGTTGAGGCAATTATTCGATTCATTAGAGATATATCCATCATATACTTCATACCCTTTTCGTTCATTTTCATTTAAGCCTGTTACCCCCACAGGAGCATGAGCCACCGACTAGTATTCACCAACCTACTCTTTCCTAGACCTCTCTCTTTCCAGTTCTCTACAATTACTAATCATTCTTATCATGTCTGACTCCATTTCTCCACGTAATGTGTTCCTTCGCCTTCCCATCTTCCTTCAACCTCAACGGTTCCAAGTGGGGACTTGTCTTGTGACGCACTTCCGTGCTTTCCGTAATGTATGTCCTATCCACTTTCAGTGCTTCTTCCTGATTCATCCTCCATTGGAATCTGGTTTGTTCTCTCCCATAGTAGGTTGTTGCTGATGGTGTCTGGCCAACGGATCCGAAGTATGTTGCGTGGAAAACTGTTAATAAACACTTGTATCTTCTGGATGATCACTTTGGTAGTTCTCCAAGTTTCCGCCCCATACAAGTAGAACTGCCTTGACATTCGTATTGAGAATTGTTGTTGTTGTTTCGTTTCCACTGAGTAGGTCGTGAAAACACTGTAACCTATTTCTGATAGCTATCTTGAATTCGTTGAGGATTCCAGTATCCCTGAGAAAGGTTGTATTAAATGTTTGTGATGTTGTCCGCCTCGTTGTCCAGTGCCTCTTGAGTTTCATCTTCATCTTAGCGACCAGCAAGTGGTGATCTGAGACTATGTCAGCTCCTCTCTTGGTTCTCACATCCTCAATGGTCCTCCTGAACTTTTCATAGATACATATTGTTTTAGTCTATTTGTTTCTGAGTAATGTGGTCCGGTGAAATTAATGAAGCATTGTGTATGCGAATGTGTGGGAATATGGTGCCACCTATGACCAGTTTGTTGAAGGCACATAGGATTGTGAATCTCGCATCGTTTTCATTCCCTTCTCACAGTCCATGCTGTAGTGGAATATTTCTACGAGGAGAAAGTAATTGGTGAAAAGAAAACATTTATTATTGTACTCAGTTGTTACAATAATTATTTGATTGTACTCCTTTTGTTTAACTGTACTGAAATCTTTTAGTTGCACGCTCGACATGTAGCTAACATTGCTTGGTTGCCTCAGTGGTTGTATCTGCTTTCGAACCACTTGTCTTGATATTTTTTCGATATTACGATACCACAATCAATACACCTCGTCCTCCAATCACATACTGTCTTTTGATATTTGGCCGTAACGGGATATAACTTGATTATCTCGCGATTAGTAGTCTCATTCGCTACAATATCGTACCGTGATTTCTTCATATCCGGTTTTGTTTATGCCAACCGTGGTATTTAGGTCTCCCATCAGAATGGTCAAAACCTTTGATAAGCATCTGTCGACGATTGACTGCAGCCTCTTGTAGAATTGAACTTTAACAGCTACATTGTAGTCGTTGGTAGGTGCATATCATTGGATGACGTTCATTTTGATGCTCTGTTTTCTAGTTTTGAAGGTTGCTTTGATGATCCTTGGTCCATGAGATTTTTAGCCTATCAGTGCTTTTTGTGCTTATTTGGACAGCATCAGTGCAACTCCTAGTGTGTGTTAGGTATTTTCTTCTTCGTGGCCGGAGTATAACAGCAGTTCCCAGGGCAGATTTTAAATGACTTAAACTATTTTTTCTGGTTAGTATCTTTTAGCGAATTAGCTTTATACGGGATGCTGTCGCCAACCACAAGCCCATCCCTCCTACTTTATGCGGGCTTTGGACTGGCAGTAACCCCAGATGGGCTCCAGGAGGAGTTTTGAAAACCTTGTATCCAAGACTGAAATCAATGAAAAGAGATTTCTTTGTTAAACTATTCATCTACTCTTTTATTTTACACTTCGATGACATTTTCTCGGTTATATTCAGATTATTTCTGTATAAATGACCGGTACAAATCTAAGCTTTCCTCATTATTTCCCATCATAGTTAGGATCTATAAGGCCATGTGTTTCAGGTAATGAACTCCTATTTTTATTACTCCTAAGGACATGTTAGAATTAAACCACAGCTTTATGCCGTATAAATTCAATAAATGTGGATTGCTTTTATCAAGAAATGTATGTGAGTCAAATTTGAACATCAGTGAAATGATCAGATAAATAAAAGATTCGACTCTGCATTTACAAAATGTAAATTTCAATTGTAAACTTATTTGTAATAATAATCAACCGCTTTGTTAATTCTGTTTCGTACTCATCATCGAAATATATAAAAAGTCCTTTCTCAAGAAGGTCAATGGTATATTCATATGTAATTTAATAGATATTTCAGGTATTAGAAAAGTCAATATATAATAGAATAAGTAAATTAACATTAAAAATTCATACAGTTTATTGCCAAGTTAACCCCTACCTAATCAACTTCACTGAATTTAAAAAAATTAGGTGAGTAAAATTTATTTACTTTAATACGAATGTTACTCTAAATACGAAAGGAGCCATGTGACTCCAGAAAAATTACAAAACTGGCGTTATTGATCAATTTTCGAGCTGGTCTCTAATTATCCCTATGTCCCATATCTATTGGCTACAATGCCAAATAATTATTGCTCTGAAATATTCGTGTCGAGGTCGATTATTTTTGACCTTAATCATGGGCCCAAAATTGGGTGAGATTTTGTTGGATAGACTTTAAGGGGGATGAAATAGGGAGAAGGGAGGTAGAAAAGTCAGACTGGAATATTTTTGAGCTGTAACATTATTGAGTGAGGTCACAGAGGCCCAATGAGAATGAGCGATAAATACCTGTCTGTCGAACAATTTTCGATCATGTCTATTTACTAAGTACTGTTCGACTAAAATATTTGCGTGACCAATTGATTTGGGCCACTGCTTTTTAGGACACACAAAATGAGATGTCATCACACTAAATATTTGCCCATGTCATCATTGACTGATAGATTGTCTATCCCACTATTTTTAATAATCAAGAGGCCCGAAAAAATACTTCGATCGAGCTTATGAAAGTTTCCGTGTATCTTCTGTATATTACGTGGATTATATTTCTTAAATTTACTAGCTTAGTTGCATTTGACATTATAACTTAGCAAATCGAACACAGGCACAATAACTGATCACGGATTTATTTCATTACATAATTATACTAATTATACACAAATTATGCCACAATGTTGCTTTGCTGGATGCCATAACCGCACTGATGACGGACGCGGCCTAAGTTTCTTCAGGTTTCCTCGTAGAGATGCTGCCCGGACAGAATCTTGGATTAAGGCATGCGGTCGAAAAGAATTTGTCCCATCTCAACACTCACGTGTTTGTTCGCAGCATTTTAAGTACGATGATTTTGAAAGGGATATTCGTTCGGAGCTTATGGTAATCGGTCACAAAAGATTGCGTCTAAAAGAAACTGCCGTACCTTGCCCTTCTGCCTTTTTACAAAATAGTACTAAACAATTAGAGTCAGATAAACTGTCAAGTAATTCAAAAAGAAGATCCACACTCAACAGCCAAACCGAATATGAAGCAGCACAAGATAATTCAGGTTCATTGTTCTGTAAGTCTCTAGTTAGTAGCCCGATTTTGTGAATTATTGTTCCAATTTTACTGCATTGACGGTATCATTATAAATCCCTTATTGAATTTAGGTAAATTCATGTAGTATGGTGCAAGTGTCTACTCAACCTCTATATAAATATTCAGAGATTATCTACCGGTTAGTTCCTTGATCTAAGTGCTGATGGCTTTTTAAATATCATTTATTGTGCCAATGAGATCTGTACTGATAAATTAAAAAGATCCTTTTTTGGGATTCTTATGTACTATCGGCTATTTTTCCTCAAACATATGTCCAAATGTCTCTACTTAATAAAAGAAAAGTAAGGTGACTGCTTGGATAACTTTGTAACTACCAAAGTAATAAAGAAAAGGGAATTTTAATTCTTAACAGATGGCTAAATTGGTTATAGTAATGACACTTTACGTGTGTTTGATTACCTCTTGTACCGAGTAAAATTTAATAACGATAATTCTGTCCATTCTTTTTTATTTGAATGACATTGACAAGTTGTTACTGTTTTATTTAAAAATGTTGCTATTTTAGCTTTCCGTCTTAACACTTGATTTTATCCTTGAAGGTTGACTCAAGAAAATTAATGTCATCCTGGATAATTTAGAAAGAATGTGGTAGGTATAAAAGAAAATGTTGAGGTGGTGAGTTACACTTCGTGTTGTTTTCACTTCATTTCTACTCATAGTCCTACAGAGAGAGAGAGAGAGAGAGAAAGATAGTGTAACACTGAGACATTAGCATAGTTTCCTACCAGATTACTAACAGTGGACACTACTTTTTAGTAAGACGTAAGCAGTTTAAAATCCATGTTGATTGGAAACAAACAACTGTTGTTGAGAAATAAAGTACGCATTCGAAAGGTACTAGGATACGCGGAGGGAAAGTCTTTTCATGATAAATCAAGATGAACGTTATCTGTCTTTCTATACTTCTCTCTCCTAACTAAATTAAGTGTGGATTTTCTGCCCCATATGTCCCCATATATCCTAGTAACCGAAATCTTGTTTTCAGTTAACAGACATTTTCCAAAGTTACACTCAATTTTATCCACGGTTCACTATAGAATATTTTATTAATCCAGTAGTCTAGCGAAATAACTGATATCTCTATAATCTTGTTGTAGGGTTTAGAAATCTTGAATTTGGCTTACAGTGAGTAGTTAAGGGTGCATAATTTCGAGGAATTTCAGAAGTCTTCTACTCGTCAGTTTTCACTAGACAGATACTGACTTTAGGAAAAACTATATTCTTGTTTCATTAATAGTTTGAGGTTTTTATCTCAAAATACATTCATTCATTTCGGTTGTACTACTCGAAAAGAAAATGGAGTTTCTTCCATTGCTATTATGTTTTTCAAAGTCGTACTTTATTTCTTACATTTGGTCGATTTCCATTCTCATTTTCGTCTTCACAATACTAAAATGAGAAAAAAAGTGTCCACCTACTATAGTACTTAGACAGTATACTGTTATGAAACTTGGTAGTTTTATTCATTCGACACTAAAATTGTTGTTTATCTACTTCATCAGGAAATTGAAGTATCGTTCACTGGAGATTTTATCGTATTTCCTTAGTCTTTCACTGAAGCACTTGAGGCCATTCATATTTTAATAACACCTAAATTTTGTACACGTTAAATGGATGTGTGATGAATAACTGTTTGTCATTAGAGGAAGACACAATAGTCAGGAAATAAATCAAAAGTGGAGTCCTGAACTCATTAGTCGTAACGTACTAATTTATACAGTGAACTTAAATTAAGTCGGGGAATATGTAGGGACATGATGATAAACAATAAGTTGGGTGCAACAGTATTATTCATGGTTAGGACGATCTAATTTGAAGGAAATTACTGAATAACTCAAACACCTACGGAAGTAGATATTACAGTATTATTTGGAGACCAGAGCTTATAAAAAACCAGTTTATTTAGATATGTGTGTTCAAAGGCAGGCAATGGTAAATAAATCCTCTCAATAAATAACTTTGCAAGTCTTCATCATTTTTATTTACCATATTGGTATTATAGGGTATCCCACTAGCTGAAGGTGCTCGGTCAAGCGTCCGAATCAAACCATGTGTCAGTACGCTGCAGAATATGCCTCCCTTGACAATTTACTAGCTTAGAATTTATACACTACGTTACAGCTGCCAATGATTCAGATTTATCTTTCTACTCAATCACCCCTAACTTCCAATCTTATCGGATTTGGCATCATTTTCTTACATGTTTGAATTCTGCACACAATCGCCAGGTTCTACGCTATTTGGATATCTCATTTGAACATTGATGGGGTCATTTAACTTCCAAAACTAGAGTGCATGAATGCACTTTGAACCTGACCTTTAGAGTAGTTATTTACAACCTTATGTCTAGGTACTGATATATCTGATAACTTGTACAATACACTAGCTGTGCACTTCGCTAAAGTTGGAGCAAATTATTGTCTGTGGATACATCGGTTAGATTGGATGCAGAGCCGTGAACTTATCTGAGGCGTCTTCATCCTGTGAGAAGGGACTGAGTACATGGAATAAATGTAGCTACTCTTTCTACTGAGTCCAGTTTCTCGTTCTTGTGGGGCATAATGATTTTCATTAAATGGTGTAGTGTTGTTCCTGGGGTGGTGCTCACCATAGATCAACCTCGTTTAGAATGTTCCTGGAAATCAGGATGAACCGGGCAGATGTTTTGTCCTGATATGAGACCCTTTGGAAGTGTAGATCTGCGACTCCATATGGGATCCAACCCAGAGCCTTCAGGCCACTGAGTTAACTGCCAGTTATACACATTCCCAACTTCATTTAGTCCCGGATATATTGAAACAAGCATTTGTTATTAGTAATGACTAATTCAGGGGGCGCATGTGAGGCCCATGGCTAAGGAATTCTCACTGGAACTTCAGGTAAATTTACCTGTAGTCAGGTCAGTGTTTCGTTGAAGGGATTTTGTGAAGGTTAGTCCAACCTGTATGTAGTATCAGCCACCATCAGAAAGTTCTGTACTAAGGTACAACAGCTTCCCAATAATCCCTAGTATTTATTGGTGCTTTCAATAAATAAACATGTGATCGATCCTTCCTATTAATTATACTTCTCTATGCTAAGCCTCTTCATCATTGCTATAGTTCCTTTTCAGACCCTCCGTTTTTTCAACCTCCTTATTATACTGTCTTACATCGTGCAATTGCTTACCTATACGAATACTTGAAGGATAAAACAGATTCATTTCACAACTCAGTGAACGAAAACATCTTCAAGTTACAAAAAGCAGTATCACTATAATGACTGGTAAAACTGCTGTGGAGGAGAGGTACTTCTTGCTGTTTAGATCTCGAGGACTTGTTCCATTCACTATACGAGAGCTGATTATCAAAAACATTGGAAGTAAAAGTGATTGCGATCACTCCTAGGTTTACTCCCCTTTTTGCTGAAGATTACTTACAGGTCTGAAAAATGAGTAGCAATGTAATCAGGAGCTTTAGTGCTGTTCTAAGTCATCCAGGTCCAGGGTGGCTTGAATTTGTGGAGGAGTAAGTATTAAAGACCTCAGTAGCCTGACAGCATCTCACCCCCCAGTTAGTCGGTGCCACAAACGTGTAGTCATGAAGGGTGTGGGTCTCTCGAGAATATCAGTTACTACAGTCTTCACATCAGCAATCCATAGGGGCCTGTATCAGCAGCTTGGTTTGTGTAAACTATTCCTTGAAATTTTTTTACGTTTCTAAATACTTAGTGGTCAGAAACTTCAAGCCGTTATGGGAAAATATTCATGAATACTATAGTTTTAGGCTTTAAGAATTAAGAGTCAGGAGCATCAATTTTCCTACCCAGCTCTCTAATTTTGTAACTCCACGTGATGACTGAGATGGTCCTCCTGAATCTTCTACTGCTTCTTAGTGGTTAAACCCAGTATATTGTTTTGATGCCTTCTGTAGATAATTTTTGGGGGACCGATCCCTTCAAGTATAAGTTGTCCTAAGACCTTGTCGAACTGATGATTAATTCTCTTTTTGCTACTACACATTTCATGAGTTTCTGGTCTCATGACGTACATCAGTCTGGTTCTTTTAGTAAGTGTCGATTTTGGCGAGCAATCTGAGTCGGATCTAAGGTTGCTAAGCTACTCCAATATTATGGTCGATACTAAGTGAAGTGAATTTTTTTGACCTGTAAATCACAAGCTGGTCACGATTATGTGTCGCAGTTATTTTTGTCGAGCACATAGTAAATAATTTGCACTTATTTTGGGTTGGAAGAAGATTTTTAACAGTAAGGGTAAACTTGTTGACTAGGTTGTAAATATGCACTGCCTTTAACTATCTGGTCCAGTTTATGCTCCTACCGATTCACTGCCAAATACAAAAATGATAGCACTCGATACAAAACAATGACCAAACAAGCAAAATGATTCACTCTGTGGAGTCGTTGGACCATGTTCTGATTTTTATGGAGGTGTGGCAATTTCCTGGTCACGACTCCTTAAGTACTGACTGACAGGATACCTTGAATTACAAGGCTCAAACTAGGGCATATTGAGACGACACGTATTCCAGAGTCACGGCATTCATCAGTCCTCTTCCTTTCATATAACCTTACCACAAGCTACAGCATTTCTTTTTTCAGTAACTTCTGGTTCTTCATTCTCTAAGATTATGGCTTCTAGGTCGACAGTACTTAAAGGTCGATGAGAATTGCATCAAACACTGAGAAATTTCGATGTTCATACAGTAGGGAGAAACTCCAAGTAGCATATCACTCGAGATTAGGGAACGACAGAACTGATCTCGATGAATGGGGACCTCAGCTACCAACTGTCTTTATTGTTTCCCGTACATTATGAGCTTCTGTCAAATATGCTCTGAGACAATAGGATCTGGCTTCAAGCTTGCTTCCCTTCAGCGTGAAGACCTATCCATCCCCTCTAAAATTCTCTTTCCTATCTTTATTAGTTGAACTTCTATTTCATTTGGTCCCATCAATAGTGGTAAACAGTTTTTCAGACTTCTGGTTGTTCAAAGCACTCCAAACACCTGTAGTCTGGAGTTTACTATGGATTTTGTAAATCTCTCAGTGACATAAGTAGGCAATCATTTGAATTTATTGATAAAAGGTGGTTAAAGAGAGCTAGATTCTTCCATCTTTACTTGTGACCTAACCCGTTGGTAAGAAATAACTGTTTGTTTAGTTGGTAGAAGAGACAAGATTGTCTCCGGAACTTCTGATCACCGTTGCTTCATATTTAAAACGAGTGATCGACATAACTTGTAACGAGACACTTTACCTTTGATACTTTTCGTAGTTGTTTTTACTTCTGTAACTTTTAACTTGTCTAAGTGTCTCCTTGGGGCACATGCTTCGTCTTCAAAATCCAATGTCTTTTAGCCCATTGCACTCGGGTTAAACTAAACGTTCCCTGAAATTCAGTCTTGAAAAAATATTCAGTGCATATTTTGCACGCACAAAGAGTCCTTATAGCGAAATAAGATGAGGAGACTAGTTGAGAAATATCGTTTTGTTGTTTAAGTGAGTTTGCCAGTCAAATGGCTCGCCGTTTGGTTTATGTGATCTAATTCTGGGTACGTCTTATCACTCCATTTATAAGATGCTCCATTGTTCATTTTTACCATTTCAGCCACATTGAGGAAGGCATCGCCGATAGAATCTCTGGGAGAGATGGAGCCCCCGTTAAAGAGGTATAACACAAGTTCATGTGGCGATTGTTTCAGGCAATGCTTTGATGATGTATTAGACTTAAGTCGAAAGTCTAACCATGTTGATAATGGCAATGAAAAGCTTTCAAGCAAGGTAAGTAACTGACGCCCCATAATTTCTGCAGAACGATGATGACGTCATAATGTTGAGTGAGGATGAGGATGATCGTCTACTTGGATCTCTGTGTGATGAAATGGAAAAAGAAAACACACCCAAACAATCCCTTCTATCAAAGTCGCGTGCATTTCTTTTAAAACTGGAAAATGAACTTAGAAACGAAGAAAGTACATTAGTTTTACTCCAGCAGTTGCGGGCCAATCAACGCTCGCATGCATTACAGTCAAAAAGTACTAAAGTTTCGTCAGCTGTAACAACTACTGTCCGTAGTACACAATCACCAGTTACTCAAGGTAAATAATCACCATTTAATAATTTTATTTAGTTCGTACAGCTGTCAGTCAAACTACGACTAGAAATGTTCCATCAACAACCAGTAGTCGAGCAACTCTATGTAGGTTCCCTTAGTCACTAAAGATCTTTTCTTTAGCTCCAGCTCAAAACAGTACGACGTTGAATCCATCAGGTGCAACGGCAATAACAAAAGTAACAAAAGGAATGGCTATTCATGCCCTTGAACAACAATGTAGTGGCAAAAAAGCAATGCTTCGGAAGCAGTCGGAAAGAACTCTAGATAATGTAGTTCTCCCAAAGCCTGCCGTTGGGAATGGACTATCTGAGGTACCTTTCGTTCCAAGCACCCTGACAAATGGGTTTACTGCAATGACAGGCCTTGAGGAAATCGTAACTACCATACAAGTAGGTGATTTGGCTTTTATAACTTTTCTGTCCGTTGTCAAAGTTAGTAACTTTGTACATAATTAATGCAAACAGATTTTTAAGTTTGAGGTTAGTGTCAAAAACCCTGCTTACTAGGCTTGACAGCTTTAATACATTATAGCTTTATTGCATTAACAATCCGGAAACAACATATGAATCTTGTTTTGCTAGTGACTACATAAGGCTGGGTAGTTTGTTCTATCGATAAATGTGACCCAAACCTCTGTATACTATTGGTAATGTGTTTAAATAAAGAAGTGAAGGAATAGCAAAGTGGGTTTTAAACCAGAAACCTTGTTGAAAACCAGATGTTTCATCTACTAGGTCACCATCCTAAATGAAAAGGTTAAAGCTACTGTGGATACCACTAATAGTCATGAATCTGGAAGTCAACAAGTACGTGTATTGACGATAAAAAGAAGAGTTCCAAATGTTTCTTAAGAGGGGCAGACAGTTGGCCTTCATCACACCAATTGCGATTTTAATTCTTGCAGATTGTAAGAAGTATTGTGGGTGTATATTGATGGTACTTTCAAATCGAGTGTATAATCTCGGAATCCAATGAACGTCTATTTGTAGTTATCAACACACATTCTTAGTAATATTTGATTGTAATTTTGCAATCCTGGCATTTTCGAAACCTCATCACCAATACCAGGGATTTGTGAAGCATGTCAGATGTTTTCTTTTTGATAAACTACATTTCTAACTTTTTACACTTATAAGAAAAAAGCAAGCCAAATGCAGTAACTAAATGAAATTGCTAAACTTTTATGGAATTACGTAGCGGTTAAAGTCAAATTTAGATTAGTTCTTCTTTGCCTTAGGTTACTTTATTCATATACAAAAACCTTGTTTTCACCAGGTTCATTCAGTCAGTCAGATGCAACGTAGAACTTTGTACATAAGTACATCAGTTCATGTTGCCATACCACATCAGCACAGAGAAGTAATCGTCAATTCAAATACAATAGTAGAAGAGGTAGTAAGGGAATTAGAAATAATCGGAGAGGTTAGGATTAGAAGATATTATTCAAGAAGTATGATTCAGTGAGATAAGTTTAAAGAGTCGAAACTAGAGGTGTTGAAGAATCCAAAAAGATTAGCATTTGAGAGAACACAAAGAATAAATGCACCGGCGCCATTGCGAACGATTTTGAGCCATGTCATTCAAGGTCTCTAACCATCGATTATTATCATCTCGCAGACCCCAACCAGGTAGTCGACAATTACCAACATGGCTCAGTCCACTAGTCAATGACTTCATGGATTTCTGCCATGTTTTGGTTTGGCCGCCTCTAACTTTCTTCCAACCTATTCCTACACTACAAAACAAGGCTCGACGAGGCAGCCGGTGGTTGGGCATACGCAACACATGTCCCAACCACCTCAACTGGTGAAGTTTCAATACTTCGTCGATTGATCTGCCATTCTTACCTAGCACCCGATTCCTAATAACAGCGTTGCTCACTCGGGTGTCCCACGATATACGAGCAATGCTTCGAAGACACCTATAATCGGAAACCAGCAACCTAAGAATATCTTCTACTCTGACTGGCCATGTTTCACAGCCATAAAGTAGGACGGAGCGAACTACTGCGCAGTACACTCGTCCTTTAGTCAGCAAACGGATATCTCGCCTACGCCATAAGTGACGCAGGTTGGCAAAAGCCAATCGAGCCTTCTGTATCCGTGCTGAGATTTCGTCAGTCACCAGGCCATCGGCACTGATGAGACTCCCAAGATAAGTGAAGCGGTCTACACGTTCGACTACTTCACTCCCTATCACTAGTTCAGGTGCCGATGCAACCCAGTTTTGAAGCAACATTTTGCATTTCGAGGGGGAAAATCGCAACCCGAACATGCTTGCATTGTTGCTTAGGGTAGTCAGAAGACTCTGCATTTTGTCAGCGTCTTCACCAAGTAGGACAATGTCATCGGCATATTCTAAGTCAATCAGCGAGCCACCTGGTAGAAGTTCTACTCCTGAAAATTCTGACGAGGATAATGTTATGTCTAGGAGCATGTCTATGATAAAATTAAACAAGAATGGAGAAAGTGGACATCCCTGACGGACACCACTTGATGTAGAGAATTCGGGTGACAGTTCGCCATAAGCCCTCACTCGACCAGTGGTGTTCGAGTAAAGAGCTTGTATAAGGTTAATGTACTTCTGTGGTACACCTTTCAATGACAGACACTGCCACAGAACCTTACGATCCACTGAGTCAAATGCCGCCTTAAGGTCTAGGAAAACAACTATTGTAGGACGCCTAAATGTGTGTCTATGTTCCAGGACCTGTCTGAGTGTGAAGACGTGGTCTATACAACCACGTCCAGGTCGAAAACCAGACTGGTTTTCTCGAGTCTGCTCTTCACGAGCTTTCGTTAAGCGTCGAAGTATTATTGAGGCCAGTATTTTAGATACTATATTAGTTAGACTTATTCCCCTGTGATTGTCACAAGAAGACTTTTGTCCTTTCTTATAGATTGGGACAATCAAGGATTGAGACCAGTCGGATGGGATTACGTCCAGTTCCCAGATTCTACCTAAGATCTCAGTCAACCTAGCTGCTAAAACTGGACCACCATCCTTAAATATCTCAGGGGTCAGTCTATCAGGACCTGCAGCTCGTCCTCGTTTCAGATTTCCTAACGCTTTCTCAACTTTATAAAGACTAGGTGGACTTAGGTCGATTTGCCATTCAGGATGACTGGAGATCGTGGGTAACCGAAGAGTGGCTCGTGGCCAGTTGAACTGATCCCTAAAGTGTTCTGTCCATCGGTCCAGTCTCCTGGATTGAGAATGGATAATAAGACCATCCTTTTCCGAGATAGTCTCACTCACATTCGGGTTCTTAATACCGGTTTCTTTAATAAGGCGGAAAAGTTGTCTACTGTTGCCGATCGCCGCTGCCTTTTCCATCGCTTTTGCTTTCGCCACCCACCACTGTTCGCGGTCGTTACGCAAACTTTTTATAAGTCTACGCCTAAGCTGACTACGCTCTTCATCATGCTCAGAGTCAGGTGGGATGCGTTTTCGAGCATCCATCAGTTCGGTGGATGCGACTGATATCCACGGCTTCATCCTAGCCTTATGGTTTACCTTACTAGCAGATATCACTGCTGTTTCCACAGCCTTTTTGATATCATACCAACCTGCTTCTGGATGGGAATCGCTTGCATGGTTGCTTAACTCTCTTTCTAGTTCCTCCTGAAATATTTTCTTGGTTTGATTATCATTAAGTAAAACCCTGAGAGGCTTTCTTACGGTGTCTTTCCTACGCCCAGTAAGCCTTAAGCAGATACGAGCTCGCACTAGAGCATGATCTGAATCCAAACATGTGCCCCAGAACGAGCGACAGTCTTCTATCGAACCCCTCCATCGGTGACTGATGGCGATGTGATCTAGTTGAGTCCAACGTTGAGACGACTTTGGAGGTCGCCAGGTCAGCAGATGCTTTTCCTTATGCCTAAAGTTGGTGTTCGCTAAGAATAGGCGGTTATCTGAGCATAGTTGCAACAGACGGTCTCCATTGTCTGTTCTCTCAGTCGCTACACCATAACATCCACCAAGATGTCTTTCCTTTTCACCTAGTCTACCTACTTGAGCATTAAAGTCACCAGCCATTATTACTATATCAGAGCGCCTAGCTTTTTGAAGGAGGTCCGAAAGCTTTCTGTAAAACTCATCTTTAACCTCGTCTGCACTGCAGTCAGTGGGGGCATAGGCAGATATGACGAAGAGGCAACGGCGAGTGTCCCTATCCTTACGAGTCCTTAATGTCCCGTTTAGTCGGACAGCGCACACCAGGTTCATTATAATTCATTGTTAGTTTCATTGGTAATGTTTTGCTTGTGTAATGATCATTGGGTTAGCAACTTGCCACATAGGTAACAGTAGTCAACTTTTCAGTATTATCAGGGAAACCGGATTTAGGAATTTGACTAATAATGAGACTGTTTCGGAAAAGGATAGGCTTATTTTTCGTCCTCAATCCAGGAGATTAGATCAATGGGTAGACCACTTTAGGGATCTGCAGCTGCCTTCTCACAAGGAAGGAGGGTTAGAAAAGGTCGACCCTAAATATGTCACACTTCGCCGTACCCCACGGATTTCCATCTCCGGTGGCAAGAGTACCCACTAAGGGCTTTTAAGAGTGGGGCTAATACTCAAAAAACCTTTGATAAAAAGGCCGTGCGTGACCGGCCTCAAGCAGTTGTCCCTTGAGCTCTGCAGTCACGCTCCCAGGTCTCGAAAACCGACACTAATCTACCTTCGTTTTCAGGTTCCTCGAGAAACAACCTTCCAGCGTGCGGGCAGCCGGGAATTGATAACCGCCCTCGTACCCGTAACAGCAAGCGAGACCGAATCGGTCGAAATCAAATCCTTCCTACACCCCCTAATACCTCTCTTATCTCCACGACTAACTCTACTCACATTCCCTTATCTCACTGAACCACTAATCCAAACGAAGTGAGTTCACGAAACGTCATTCCTGGTGTCCTGAAACCCCGCTCTAGACTACATGTACGGACATTGTGTCAAATAGGGCGATAGGCCTCCTTAGCTAGGAATTTAGAATCTCGCGCCATTGATGTATGCTGCGTATCTGAAAAGGATCCCAATAGCGTCATTTATTTTACCGCACCATGTCAAAATAAAGAAGCAGCCCGATTGACTCTTCGTGTATCAGGTAGCCTGATGCTGCTCCCAGGGGTCTTGCTGGTGTAGTTATAGCATTGAGTCGTAGAGTTGAACTATCTCTCCTAGACTGGATCCCAGTAGATAGTCCCTTGTACGCCGTCCGACTGAACGGAACAGTAAGGACTCGGAAAAATAGGGACACTCGTCGTTGCCTCTTCGTCATATCTGCCTACCATCCCACTGACTGCAATTCAGACGAGGTTAAAGATGAGTTTTACATAAAGCTTTCGGACCTCCTCCAAAAACCCAGGCGCTCTGATACAATAATAATGGCTGATGGCTTTAATGCACCTGGGTGGATTTTATGGTGTCGTGGCTCAGAGAACAGACAATGGCGACCGTCTGTTGCAAGTATGCTCAGATAACCACCTATTTCCAGTAAACACTAATTTTAAACATTTTAAGCATCTCTTGAAATGGTGATGGTGGATGCTCGAAAAATCATCCCACCTGGCTCTAAGTGCTATGAGGAGCGGAGTCAGCTTAAGCGCAGGCTGATAAAATGATCGAGAATAGTGGTGGGTAGCGAAATCAAGAGAGATTGAAAAGGCAGCGGCGATAGGCAATAGTAAGCAACTATTCAGACTGGTCAAAGAAACTGGTGTTAAGAACCCGAATGTGAGTGAGACTATTTTGGAAGAGGATGGTCTTATTATCCATTCTCAATCCAGGAGACTGGACCGATGGACAGAACACTTTAGGGACCAGTTCAACTGGCCTCGAGCCACTCTTCGGTTACCCACGATCTCCAGTCATCCTGAATGGCAAATCGACCTAAGTCCACCTAGTCTTTATAAAGTTGAGAAAGCGTTAGGAAATCTGAAGCGAGGGCAAGCTGCAGGTCCTGACAGACTGACCCCTGAGATATTTAAGGATGGTGGTCCAGTTTTAGCAGCTAGATTGACTGAGATCTTAGGTAGAATCTGGGAACTGGACATAATCCCATCCGACTGGTCTCAATCACTGATTGTCACAATTTATAAGAAAGGACACAAGTCTTCTTGTGACAATCTTCTAATCCTAACCTCTCCGATTACTTCTAATTCCCTTACTACCTCTACTACTATTGGATTTGAATTGACAGTTACATCTCTCTGCTGATGTGGTATGGCAACATGAACTAATGTACTTACGTACCAAGTTCTACGTTGCATCTGACTGACTGACAATCACAGGGGAATAAGTCTAACTAATCAAGTTTATAAATTGTTAGCCTCAATAATACTTAGACGCCTAAGTAGAACTCGTGAAGAGCAGACTAGAGAAAACCAATCTGGTTTTCGACCTGGACGCGGCTGTATAGACCACATCTTCACACTACGACAGATCCTGGAACACACACACATTTAATCGTCCGACAATACTTGTCTTCCTGGACCTTAAGGCGGCATTTGACTCTGTTGATCGTGAGGTTCTGTGGCAGTGTCTGTCATTAAAAGGTGTACCAAAGAAGCACATTAACCTTATACAAGCTCTCTACTCAAACTCCACTGGTCGAGTGAGAGCCTATGGTGAACTGTCATCGGATTTCTTCACTTCAAGTGGTGTCCGTCAGGGCTGTCCACTCTCTCCATTCTTGTTCAATTTTGTCATAGACATGCTGCTAGATATAACCGTATCCTCGTCCGACTTTTCAGGAGTCGACTTTCTACCAGGAAGATCGCTTGCTGACCTAGAATATGCTGATGATATAGTTCTATTCGGTGAAGATGCTGACAAAATGGAGTCTTCTGACTACCCTGAGCAACAATGCAAGCGTGTTCAGGATTCGGTTTTCCTCCTCGAAATGCAAAATGTTACCTCAATACTGGGTTTCATCGGCACGTGAATTAGTGATAGGGAGTGAAGTAGTCGAACGTGTAGACCGCTTCACTTATCTCGGGAGTCTCATCAGTGCCCATGATCTGGTGACTGAGGAAATCTTAGCACGGATACAGAAGGCTCGATTGGCTTTTGCCAACTTGTGTCACTTATGGCGCAGGCGAGATATCCGTTTGCTGACTAAAGGACGAGTGTACTGCGCAGTAGTTCGCTCCGTCCTACTTTATGGCTGTAAAACATGGCCAGTCAGAGTAGAAGATATTCTTAGGTTGCTGGTTTCCGATTATAGGTGTCCTCGAAGCATTGCTCGTATATCGTGGGACACCCGAGTAAGCAACTCTGTCATTAGGAAACGGGTGCTAGGTAAGAATGGCAGATCAACAGATGAAGTGGTGAAACTCCATCAGTTGAGGTGGTTGGGACATGTGTTGCGTATGCTTAAGCACCGACTGCATCGAAGAGCCTTGTTTTGTAGTGTAGGAATAGGTTGGAAGAAAGTTAGGGGCGGCCAAACCAAAACATGGCAGAAATCCATGAAGTCGTCGACAAATGAGTTGAGTCATGTCGGTAGGTGTTGACTACCTGGTTGGGGTCAACGAGATGATAATAATCGATGGTTAGAGACTTTGAATGACATGGCTCAAAATCGTTCACAATGGCGCCGGTGCATTTATTCTTTGTGTTCTCTCAAATCCTGAACTTTTTAATTCTTCATCACTTTATCCTTATCTTCTTAATTCTATTTCACTAGATTCTACTTCTTGAATAATATCTTCTAATCCTAACCTCTTTGATTACTTCTAATACCTTTACTACCTCTATGATTATTGGATTTGAAAAGACAATTACTACTCTGTGCTAATGGGGTGTGGCAACATGAACTGATGTACGTACGAAGTTATATGTTCCTATTGATTGATTGAAAAACTAATCTCAGTAGATAATAGTCAGCTGCCCACTGCTTAATGTATAAATTTTGATCGAATTGCTATTACAATAACTCATCACTTGTGTATTTTAGGACTTTGATCCACTGAACACGGATAAAAGTACCGAACAATCTCGCTTTGTTAACCCATTCTCATGTTCACGTTGTGGTACAGACTTCACACCTGTATGGAAATGCAAACTCCCAGGTTCATCTGTAGTTAGTTGTGAAGCTTGTATGGTTGATAGTCAACGTTCAGCCATTCATAAAGCTTACAGTAGTGTTATTTCAGCTGCACTTAAACAACATGCTGCTTCAGAACGTGTTATTGAACACGAATATCAAGACGTAATCAATTCTCCAGCTAAGTTGGAAGCTTTCATTAAAGAACATGAACGTAAGCTTCTGGTAACTCAACAAGCTCAAGTGGCCCAACAACAACAACAACAAATGCAACAAGTCGTCTCAGCTTCTGGTGTACACAATCAAAGGTACCACCAACAACAGCAAGGATTCCAATCGCAGGTAAATTTCTGTTGAAATGTTCAAAGTTTGAATTTTATTGACAACAACCGTGCCCTAGAATATTAAGGCTAGTAGCTAGCGTAGAATCCTTAAAGCCTTTTTTTAAAACCTTGACCTCTCAGTTTTTATGATGAAAGCTATATTTGTAATATCTCGCTGAGTATAAAAAAGGATTTTCTGACATTTTCGTACGTCAACTCAAGCCACTTCAAAGAATAAGTTAAGAAACAAACTAAAAGAACTGAAGTTTAAGTAGTACAATGGAACAAAACTACGTTTCCATGTTCTAAAGAAGATCAGCTACTTCGCTTTGTTAAATGCAATTTTTGCACGTGTATTTTAGTTAATGTTCTGTTAAAATGATCGGAAAATCGTTACTGTCTGAAAAAGGATGCAGCTGTTCTCTACTTGCAATAGATGCTTCGTCATTTCGGTAATGTTTTACCGTAAATTAGGATTAACTTCTGATGCTAAAATAACTTATGCTAGTAAATTAAGCAATGCTGCATATTTTCAAACTGCTGGAATCTGGTATTATCAATACAACTGACCGGAATCTCTGGAATCAGTTATACATAATGTAGAACCTCGCGTATATGTGGACCGATTCATGTTGTCATTGACAACGGTAAAACTACTTATTCATCTGGAAGGTATTAGTACACAAAATTTGGTCGTATGAGATAGATGTATACCTTCTCATTCCTATGTTCGTTGTGAAATTAATGTTCAAGATCTCCGTCCATCGATATTCATCATATTGGGAATCCTAATTATAAACGTAACCCCTCTCAATTCCACTCAGATCATCAGTTATATAGTAAACACCTGAAATTCTGCAGATAAATACAGTGGCTATTGATTCAAAACTAGTATAATGTACTTTAATCTGATCAACCAGAGATTATCTCTTCCATAAGTGTTATTGCAAACCTGTTGAACTATCTTTTCACTTGTTTGCCAAGTTATATTTGACTGGAATTTGAGATCAGTTATTACGTACAGTTTAATATTTCCGTCGGTTTGAGTTCGTCCCATCTTACTTCAGCATATTTATTTTTGTTTTCTCATAGAATGTATTTAATAATGCTAATAGCTCAAGACACGGACAAACAAGTGTAGTTAACAGCGCTTCCTCATCTCAGTTAGGAATACCAAATGTCTCGTCTCGTCGACAAGGTGCGTCCAATAACGTTAGCGTCAATTCTCCTGTTTCCCTACCTATTCAGCAGCAGGGACATTCAGCAGGAGATGTCGTCCAGCATTTGACATCTCGTTATCAACAACTCACAAAAGCGGCTGTGGCTGCAGCTGTTGGTGGTGGTGGTCCAAATCCAGTCAATCATTCTGTTGCTAGTAATGCAGCCACTGCAAACTTAATGATGTCTGCAGCCGCAAATCCTATGCTTGCAGCAGCAGCAGCGGCAGCAGTTTCGGCAACTAATCAACAACAGCAATCGGTCGCCCAACAGCAGTTAACTGCTGCGGCATTCGCACAGCAAAGGTTAGCTGCAGTAGCAGCCCTTAACTTCCAACATCAACAACCGCACCATACACAACCTTCAACTGGGGCTGTAACACCTAATTCACCCATTGATCACTTGGCTCAGTTAACTCAGATGCAGACATTGTTGATGAGCAGTTTCTTGGGAAATGCAGGTATATAATATCACATTTGTGTTTGTGATCTTGGCGTGGGTGTTTTCATTTCAATTTCTGTTCTTGATGTAAACTATCTTGTTTTTCATGCGAATTAAATAATTGCAAACGATATTTACAGGTAACTTTTACTGTGGACTTTGTTTTAACAGCACTAAATTAGCTACCTTTTTGTTGTTTCGGTCTATCCATTGCACTGGTCTCAGTTGTTCGAGGTCCAGAGATTCGAGTTACCACACGAATTATATAGTGGTTGGAGTCTTCACTTTTAAAGCAAAAATTTAACTTCTCTCTCATTGCAATCATTACTTATGGCAAGGGTCTGGTCTTTCTATCTAGTTGGATATGCACCACAAATCTTGGCTGAAAAACTCTAATTTCACAGGTTCAAACTCTACTCCCGTTCTGGAAATCAGGTAGTGACGCTATCTCTCACAAAAAGCTAACCACATAAACATTCATCTGTTCGGTTATTCGACCTTTCCGAATACTACCTCTAGTCTCCCAGTACCCAGCTGCAGATTGTTAGGCTCGTCTCATATCGGACAAAAAAATTCTATAACTCTTCTGTCCTTCTTGCGAAATTCATTTTCAAAGATTTGGTCGTGAAGAATCCGCTAGTTCTAGTAAGAAATTGAGTCCAACAATAGATAATGAACTTTCTAACTGAATCTAACTAGACAGTCATTCGTATCATGCCTAAGCGGATGACAATGGGATGCATACATTTTTTCTGTAGCGTTCCCCTACGCTATCACGAATTGAAGTTCACAAAAAGTAGACAAACGCCTTAGTGCTGTTTTAACGAAATACCAGATTAGGCAGATGAACAAAGCTATTTGTTTCAATTACCTTTACTCAAACACTTACTTTTCAACAATTTTTATCGAATTCTGAACACTTTGAATATGCAACTAGATTTACAAGTAACACTGATCAAATTGCCTATCAACGTTGTTTTAGTTTTATGATTGATGTGATTTTTATTTCAAAGAATTATAGTGTTTTCTTAAGTTGTGGTAACGGCTGATATTCATTATTATTTTTTATCAATCATTTAGCCGCTGCTACTGGTGCGCAAGCGACAGCTAATACTAGACAACAGCAACAGCAAATATTGCAGCATGCACTTATACAATATACCTACTTACTACAACAACAACAGGCAGCTGCAGCTGCTCAAGCCCAACAACAACAGCAACAACAAAATCAGCAGGTTAACGCTGCCGCATTGCAACAGCTAATGAGTGGTGCCGCAGCTAATCCGGCAGCTTGTATGACGTTGTTACAGAATTTGTGGGCTCTTAATGCTGCGTCGAACGGTGTCAAGAAGTAGTACTTACTTCTTAGTACTTTATTCCTTATATAATGACTTCACTGTTTTGTGTGTCTATTTGTTACTAGTATCTGAATTTTTATGACTTCACGATCCCATATTTCTGTTTGCTGTGCCTTATTAACTGCAACGCATACAGCCTACTTAGACATAAATCAATCATTTATTTTAGGCTGTTGTTTTTTTTACATCATGTTTGGTTGATTACATACACCTAAACACTAGCTCTTTAAAATCACTCATTCATTTTTCTACATTGTATATATCCCCATATGTCTATAGCATTGTTTCAGTTTCATTTGCTTAATCAATGTTATTTCTCTGATTTTTCAGTAAACATATCGTGTTGTTAATTATCGCTAACACTTGTTCTCGTCCTATATATTCATGTGTCTGTTTTGTGACACTGTGTGGTTCGTTTAGATTTTAAGCATAGTGAGGAAGTAATAAATAAGTCCGTTCCACTTTACAGTGTAGAGTCTCCAACATACCTGAAGGGTTGGTGACAGTATAGCATTTTGAGGTTTTATAGTCCTCTCTCTTTGTCATTAGATGGTGCTTAGGCAGGCTGTTAGCCGCAATCTTACATTGCCATTGCTGTCAAGTAGCATGAGTTGTTAAAATAGTCGTGAACTATTCTTAGTATCAAATTAGTAGAATTTTCAACACATTTGCACTCCTTTGTGTATGTATATGTTTCTTGTGGTGTGTCAAGAGAGCGCTAAAGAGTGAATGGAAGGGAAAAAAATGAGAATCAGAACAGATAATATTCATGACTAGTGAAGTTGAGTTGCATGTGTTATGAATGAGATAATGACTACTTGGAATTCGTTACTTCCGTTAGATCACTTAATACCCAAATATATCTTGTTGGGTACGCTAAAAAAAAATGAGAAAAGCGGTATAAATCAAAAAGTTTGAATTTATGTGGATATCTTGAAAGTAAGGAAATTGTTTGGATACACGACTGATGGATTCACCTTTGCCTAAGGATTACTAAAACTTCATAATTATTACTGACGATGCTTATTTACAGTCGTGCGAGGGCTTGTAGTGGTGTTGATGTGTCATAGACTTCCATCTCCGAGGGTAAGGGCACTTGATAAGCGGTGCTAACACTTTACAAACTTTGAAAAGATGGCCGTGCGTGACACAGTCCGTCAGATACAACGTAGAACTTTGTACGTACATCAGTTCATGTTTCCACACCCCATTAGCACAGAGGAGTAATTGTCTTTTCAAATCCAATAGTCATAGAGGTAGTAAAGGTATTAGAAGTAACCAAAGAGGTTAGGATTAGAAGATATTAGAATCTAGTGAAATAGAATTAAGAAGATAAGGATAACGTGATGAAGAATTAAAAAGTTCAGGATTTGAGAGAACACAAAGAATAAATGCACCGGCGCCATTGTGAACGATTTTGAGCCATGTCATTCAAAGTCTCTAACCATCGATTATTATCATCTCGTTGACCCCAACCAGGTAGTCAACACCTACCGACATGACTCAACTCATTTGTCGACGACTTCATGGATTTCTGCCATGTTTTGGTTTGGCCGCCCCTAACTTTCTTCCAACCTATTCCTACACTACAAAACAAGGCTCTTCGATGCAGTCGGTGGTTAGGCATACGTAACACATGTCCCAACCACCTCAAATGATGAAGTTTCACCACTTCATCTATTGATCTGCCATTCTTACCTAGCACCCGTTTCCTAATGACAGCGTTGCTTACTCGGGTGTCCCACGATATACGAGCAATGCTTCGAAGACACCTATAATCGGAAACCAGCAACCTAAGAATATCTTCTACTCTGACTGGCCATGTTTCACACCCATAAAGTAGGACGGAGCGAACTACTGCGCAGTACACTCGTCCTTTAGTCAGCAAACGGATATCTCGCCTGCGCCATAAGTGACACAAGTTGGCAAAAGCCAATCGAGCCTTCTGTATCCGTGCTAAGATTTCCTCAGTCACCAGATCATGGGCACTGATGAGACTCCCGAGATAAGTGAAGCGGTCTACACGTTCGACTACTTCACTCCCTATCACTAGTTCACGTGCCGATGAAACCCAGTATTGAGGTAACATTTTCCATTTCGAGGAGAAAAACCGAATCCTGAACACGCTTGCATTGTTGTTCAGGGTAGTCAGAAGACTCCATTTTGTCAGCGTCTTCACCGAATAGAACTATATCATCAGCATATTCTAGGTCAGCAAGCGATCTTCCTGGTAGAAAGTCGACTCCTGAAAAGTCGGACGAGGATACGGTTATATCTAGCAGCATGTCTATGACAAAATTGAACAAGAATGGAGAGAGTGGACAGCCCTGACGGACACCACTTGAAGTGAAGAAATCCGATGACAGTTCACCATAGGCTCTCACTCGACCAGTGGAGTTTGAGTAGAGAGCTTGTATAAGGTTAATGTGCTTCTTTGGTACACCTTTTAATGACAGACACTGCCACAGAACCTCACGATCAACAGAGTCAAATGCCGCCTTAAGGTCCAGGAAGACAAGTATTGTCGGACGATTAAATGTGTGTGTGTTCCAGGATCTGTCGTAGTGTGAAGATGTGGTCTATACAGCCGCGTCCAGGTCGAAAACCAGATTGGTTTTCTCTAATCTGCTCTTCACGAGTTCTACTTAGGCGTCTAAGTATTATTGAGGCTAACAATTTATAAACTTGATTAGTTAGACTTATTCCCCTGTGATTGTCAGTCAGTCAGATGCAACGTAGAACTTGGCACGTAAGTACATCAGTTCATGTTGCCATACCATATCAGCAGAGAGATGTAATTGTCAATTCAAATCCAATAGTAGTAGAGATAGTAAGGGAATTAGAAGTAATCGGAGAGGTTAGGATTAAAAGATTGTCACAAGAACACTTGTGTCCTTTCTTATAAATTGTGACAATCAGTGATTGAGACCAGTCGGATGGGATTATGTCCAGTTTCCAGATTCTACCTAAGATCTCAGTCAATCTAGCTGCTAAAACTGGACCACCGTCCTTAAATATCTCAGGGGTCAGTCTGTCAGGACCTGCAGCTTGCCCTCGCTTCAGATTTCTTAACGCTTTCTCAACTTTATAAAGACTAGGTGGACTTACGTCGATTTGCCATTCAGGATGACTGGAGATCGTGGGTAACCGAAGAGTGGCTCGAGGCCAGTTGAACTGGTCCCTAAAGTGTTCTGTCCATCGGTCCAGTCTCCTGGATTGAGAATGGATAATAAGACCATCCTCTTCCAAAATAGTCTCACTCACATTCGGGTTCTTAACACCAGTTTCTTTGACCAGTCTGAATAGTTGCTTACTATTGCCTATCGCCGCTGCCTTTTCAATCTCTCTTGATTTCGCTACCCACCACTATTCTCGATCATTTTATCAGCCTGCGCTTAAGCTGACTCCGCTCCTCATAGCACTTAGAGCCAGGTGGGATGATTTTTCGAGCATCCACCATCACCATTTCAAGAGATGCTTAAAATGTTTAAAATTAGTGTTTACTGGAAATAGGTGGTTATCTGAGCATACTTGCAACAGACGGTCGCCATTGTCTGTTCTCTGAGCCACGACACCATAAAATCCACCCAGGTGCAATAAAGCCATCAGCCATTATTATTGTATCAGAGCGCCTAGGTGTTTGTAGGAGGTCCGAAAGCTTTATGTAAAACTCATCTTTAACCTCGTCTGAATTGCAGTCAGTGGGATGGTAGGTAGATATGACGAAGAGGCAACGACGAGTGTCCCTATCTTTCCGAGTCCTTACTGTTCCGTTCAGTCGGATGGCGTACAAGCGACTATCTACTGGGATCCAGTCTAGGAGAGATAGTTCAACCCTACGACTCAATGCTGTAACTACACCAGCAAGACCCCTGGGAGCAGCATCAGGCTACCTGATACACGAAGAGTCAATCGGGCTGCTTCTTTATTTTGACATGGTGCGGTAAAATAAATGACGCTATTTGGATCCTTTTCAGATACGCAGCATACATCAATGGCGCGAGATTCTAAAGTCCTAGCTAAGGAGGCCTATCGCCCTATTTGACACAATGTCCGTTCATTAATAGCTCCAACATGTAGTCTAGAACGGAGTTTCAGGAAACCAGGAATGTCAGTCTGTCAGTTGCAACGTAGAACTTTGTACGTAAGTACATCAGTTCATGTTGCCGTACCACATCAGCACAGGCATATAATTGTCAATTCAAATCCAATAATAGAAGAGGTAGTAAAGTTATTAGAAGTTGTTGTGATATCACAACAACTCAATCCATCCTAGTTACGCCAATCAATTCTCCAAGACCGATTCAGTCCAAATCCCACTGTATTTACCAATTCACATGTAACTGCGCAGATTGGTACTTAGGGAGGACAGATCGCCGGTTGGAATACAGGATAGGAGAACATATTCCAAAACGGTTAATCAAATCCATGATTCATCAACCTAGCCCTTCATCTCAAAATCAACCAAGAAACCCAACCTCGTCCATTGCAAAACATCTGATGATGAGTGGTCATCAAATTGACCCAAAATCAGCCTTTAAAGTTGTGACATGTCATCAAAACCCACACACACTGAAACTACTCGAAGCTATCTTGATTGGTTGGAAAAGTCCAGCTTTATGTATTCAAAAACAACTGCATGTTGACCTTTGTTTACCATGGTTCTAGTGAGTAAATGTCATGCTAGATAAGAAATTTTGACCTTATCTTCAAAACTGTATTTACAGAAATAACATGTTGCTTGTATGTGACTGACGAGAAAGCACGAAATGGTACTATCTCACAAAATATGTCTTCTCATTTCTCTCTTCTGTAATGCTCCAGGGTCGCTAAGACCAACGCTAGTCCAGTTTTGTTTTCGGGTTCCTCAAGAAGTACTCTTTCAGGATGTTAGTAGCAGGTAAGTGGCATCCATCCTCATACTTATAAAAGCACAGCCAATCGTCAATCACGGCAAAAGGTACGTTTACTTGACATGGGCTCACGCAATGCCATTCACTCGATTTTTGTTATTACATACATGTCAGTACAGATTATTGGTTTAGACCTGCTGCAACAACATAACCTACTTATCGAGCAAAGCAAATAGAGGTTAGTTGATGATAATATTTAAATATGTTTGTGAAGCTTCATTCAAGCCTATGATAGATTTCGGGGTCATACGAAATCAAACAGGCCATAGGTATCTCCATTTCATGTGGCATCTAGAAAGGACAAATGATTGGCGTCCTATCAGAGACTATCAATAACGGAAGACGAAGCAACACTGGCTCGTTTCCAGCTGCTTCACATTCACGACTCAGCAACTACGTTGAAGGGTACAACTGTCTTTTCGAAAATCGACCCGGTTAAAAAGTATAACCAAATCCCTGTGGTTGCGCAAAGAATCCTTAAAACAGTTATAATCACTTATTTTGGGCTCTAGAGATTTTTGCGCATGCCTTTCTGTTTTAACATGCTGATCAAACTCTCAAGAGATTCACTGCTAACGTTTTTCGAGGTCTTGACGTTGTGTATAGTTATTTAGATGTCTGTTTAATCGCAAGTTCAGGTGGAGAATCACATCTCTAGCATTTCTCCTTTATTTTTTGAAGACTTCAGAAACACGGCACAATTGGTAATATACAGAATTGTTAAATCGGAGCTAATCCCCAATACTTTCATGCATATTATTGACGCCCCAGTTATCCGGCCTCTTCAAAACAATATGGTGGCCATTCTGGGTTATTCACAACCGATCAGAGCCAAGCAATCAGGCAGATTTAGAGATGATGGAGAAAATGTTTTTCTCAGGTAGAAGCTAACCTAACAATTAAGGAATCAAATACCTATCGTACAAGGTTAGAATCATACAATTAAATAAAGCGAAATCAATCAGCAAGACGACCACTGTGCAGCGCTGGTGCGTCTGTAGAGTATTATTTAGTTGACCGTGGATGCAGCTGTGAGCTGTTTATTAGGAAGAAATAATGAGATGTAAGAACTAGTTTTTATCATTGTATTGGAAATACTTATGGTGACTTGATATAAATAAGCACCTACGCGATATTACGAAGTTGAATCCCGATAAATCCAGAAGTCAGAGAGAAGACTATTCTGCAAGAAAAGAATGAAAATATGTTTGTCGCTGGCCTCGTGATATCGCATTTATATCAAGACCAGGGCAAAGAAGCGACTAACAACCACTGAGGAGAGGAGCGGAATAAAAAATTACACGCCTGGCGCGCGAGAGATAGTTTTTAGTAGAGTTAAACAAAAGGAGCACAATATTACAATTATTGCTAGAATTAAGTACAACAATAAGTGTTACTATTTCAGCAATTGTGTTACCTTCATAAAAGTATACCACTAAATACTAATCGGGTTGTTGAAGAAAAATCTGTACTGACGATGGATCTATTTCGGTAAAAGCCAGAAGCGAGTTAAAAATCCCTTCAGATTAGTTATTGTGAGCTCACACATAATCATTTGCTAGTTGAATAGATGTACTTAACCGATAATCATCATATCCAATATCCAATATCTTTTTCACGAGCTGGTGTAAACCGATTTGATTTCTTCGCGCTCGATTCTTGTCCTTTCGGTACGGTTCCAGGTGTTCGGTAATGTCCTATGGATGGAGGTCTAGCCTCTCGACAGTCTAATTCTAGTCAGTTGGCAGTTGGTTGTGAGTTTATGTCTTGAGATTTGAATGAAAACGTTTGTTTCAGGGCAGTAGGGTTGCTGGATACTAGCAGCCGTCACGTTACCCAAACCGGAGATCAGTTAGTTGCAATGTGGAGAGTAATAAGGGTAATAAGGATAAAACTCTTATGATAATATGAATAAAATTTCAGAACTGAGTAATATATAGATGAATTTAGTTTATTAATTGGTAGTGAAGATTGTGAGAGAGGACCGAAGTGTAAGCAAGGGAGAGGAATAGGCGAGATAGATTAATTGAGTGATCTGAGGAGATGGCAATGGTAACAACTAGCAGGTCTCAAGATATGCATCATGAACAGCTTGTCCAAGAGGGAGATGATAGTCCGTATGTGAGTAAGTGATTATCAAGTCTCTACTTAAAGCAGTCCACTGAGTGAGCTGTGGTCACCTCGGCTGGGAGAGCATTCCAAGTTGCGACGACTCGCAATGAGAAAAAGTGTGCACGAATCTGAGTATTCGCTCTTTGATATGCAATCTTTCGAGGATTGCCTCGAGGGGAGTGGTGGTGATGCATCGGTAAGACGCTCACATTGGGATGGTTTGGCGTGTTTAATATGGTGTACGCCATAATCAGATCACCTCTGATTCTCCTGTAGCTCAGTGGAAATAATCCCAAGAGCTGGAGTCTATCGTCGTAGGGTTTATTTTTCAACCCTATCACCCATTCGGTCGCTCGTCTCTGCACTCGATCCAAGAGAATTATGTCTCTTTTGAGCAGAGGGGGTGCGATGACGTTATGAACTTCCAAGTGTGGGCGCGCGTACGTCTTAAACAGGGTTAGAAATAATTTCGAGGCGATAGTACTAAGCTGTCTTCGCATAAACTGAAGATTCATATTTACCTTGGCTGCATTCCCTACATAGTTTGGAATGGTATGAAGGCTTTCTGTGGTTATTAAACCAAGATCGCGCTCTGAGGAGACATGAGGGAGCGGACTTCCATTGAGAGTATAGGTCGTTTGCGTCATATGAGGCAGGAAATGCATGACGTGGCACTTCGGTTGGTTGAGTTTTAAACCTTTTTTCACTGCCCGTTTCTCAATAGATGTAAGGTCCTTTTGAAGCTCAGTCGAATCCTCTTCGCTTGTAATGGACCTCCAGATCTTCGCATCGTCTGCGTAGATCAATGCCGGTGAGCTAACTGAGCTTAGCAGGTCGTTAATAAATATCAGGAAGAGAAGTGGGCCTAGGACGGTCCCCTGTGAAACTCCCGATGTGGATACTCATCAACTCGCGTGCACTCTGTTTACCTTGGTGCTATTTTTTCTGGCGCGCCAAAAAACGTTGACAGATAAGTGCATGACGAATTCCATGACAGAAACGGACGGTATTAAAAATGATCCGCTTCAAATTTTTGAGAGTCTATATGAACTGAAGTAAAAAGTTCATCGTTCAGAAAGCGTGTTTTATGGTCTTTTCTGTTCATGAACGTCCTCTATGTAAATACTAGCTGCACCAGTTTTCGCTTGTTCTGCTACGGTCATATTATTTCTTCCGTTAATCTCTCAAATGAACTGTATCATACCTATCTTTGTCGGAAATGAGGTAAGGACTACAATTTTTATCGTTCCGGCTAGTTTTTAGGAATGTAAAACGGTTCGCAAAACTATTCTGTTTGATTTTAAGGTGGAAATTAAGCGAAGAATCACAAAAGACAAAGTCAGAGGAACTGATCGCAAGCTTCAACGATAATATTAGTTGACAAATCAATTGGAAGCAGATATATCTAAAAAAATTAATATCATTTGTTAACAGCACTGGTGCATCCAGTTTCCATTCTGTATCACCGTTTATTAATAACAACAATATGCGTAAACATTTGACACTTAGTTTTACTCTAAGAGTCACTGTCATTTGGTAAGCATTAATAACCCGTGGTGCAGTTCATCTCTCATTTTGTGTAGTTTAGTTTTTACTGTATATATAAAAGTCAGTCATAGTATTACTAGTTTTATATCACTACACACGTATATATATACATATATATAGTATTTAGAAAATAATCTCTGTTATTTCACGACCAATTAGATGTAGGTAAGTAATCTGAATTGAAATCAGTAAATTAACGACCTCAAGCGCGCGGTTTCGAAAGGTTGGTGGCAACTTGTTTTCCACCATTTTCTGTATTCTACTCAAAGTAACCATTTCTGAAATTCAATGCAACTTTGACTGTTGCATTTAGTTTTCAGTTGCGTTTTCTCACATGGATACCTGACATAGTGTTAACCACCTTTGTACTGTCCATCTTGGAGTTGTAACTTCTGCACACGTATGAGAATTCCACTCTTAATAACCGTTAGTTCTGAACCACTCTTTTAGGGACAGTAGCTGAAAAAAGACTAATGCGAGTTGTCTTTTAAGTCCATTTCGAACTACGCGTCTAGGTTCATTCAATTTCTCTCTATTTACCGATTAGTAATTACTGGGTTTAAACCCAGTTCTCTGGAGTATATTTTATGGTGTAACTGTATTAATTAATATAATTATCTTGTGTTTGCCACTCACAATCTAACTTCAAACACATGTAACTTGAGTTGATGCATTATTTTTATATGTGGATCTGGGTTTTTTTAGGTGAATGAAAAATACTGTTTAATTCACACTAGTGATCAGATGTGAGCAGCTATACTTTAAGTCGTTGGCAAACATAGATCAACAGGTTGACATCCTATGTTATTTATAACTACGTAAATAACATCTAAGTACTGGTTTTACCGATAAGCATACTGTATGTTACTGAGTTTAGGTTACTTTTGTGTACGATTTCCTGATCGTTACAACCAAGTTAAATGCACCATGACTCATTGGTATTGTTTCTTTGCAGATGATATATCCTTCCTGACGGCTTGCAGTATTTTTACTTCCCAAAGTATCTTTACCAATTGTTAAACCTGTTAATCATAGATGGCTGAAGACAGCAATGAATTTGGTTCCCGGCTGGAGGAAATTCAGTCAAGTATTGCAGAAGGAAGGTTGATGCTGAATGTTCTTCGTTCACTTCCAACCACTGAGGTATTTAAAAACTGAAATTATTTTTTCAGAATAATGATGCGTTCATATTTCGTTTTGAGGATCTGATCAGTAGACTAGAAAGTTATCAATTTCACAACAGGAAGAGCGAGGTTTGTCGTACTTTTACGTGACTTTTGTTGATTTAGGTGAAAGATGTGAAATTACAGTTGAGGACACTCAAGGAGCAACAAGACAGAATTCAATCTCTCCTTGATCAGACAGCAACTAGTGTACAGGTACATATTACCAAAATATATCGATCATGTACATAAATTTTAGTGTTTTCAAATGTTTTCAGAAATTGACTTCTGAATCGTGTTAACATTCTTAGTAAATCAAGTTTGGTATATCCTTTAAGCGCCGTTATCTTTCGTGCATAAAGAAATCGATTTATAAAGATGCAAAAAGCTAAATTCATAAAACACGTTACTGAAAATCGTTTACTTCCCAAATACAGTTTTAATTTCACCATGGAAATCCATTTAAAATTCAACAATATATTTTTATGGTTGAAATCACGAACCCATCTAAGCTAGACCACTTTTAAAAACCTGGGAGCACTAGACGACCATTTCATCCTAATATGGGACTCCCCAGCAGTTTGCGTCCACGGCTTCACTCGTCGGAATTGAACCCAGTATCTCCGATCTCGCTCGCGAACACTTGACCTCTAGAACACCGAGTCTTAGTTTCAACCATGACAATACCATCTCCACAAACCGCCTTCATTAATAAAAATCATGTGCTTACTAATGACTAGTTTCATCATGCTTTCCTGGAGTTCATATAGGGTCTATTAGTTTCTTTTGAAAATTACGATTTGCCATCTCAACGTCTAAAGGAAATCCAATGGTCACAATGTTAAGCTGTTGTCTAAACGCTTTGAAATGTTCAAAATGTTGCGAAAACCCATTAGTGCGCACCTGAACCTGGCGACGGTATTCTCAAGCTGATTCCTGTTAGTGTGATTATGTTGAGAAATGAGAGTACTTAAGTTTCTTAAGTTGTCTGAACAGTGAATTAAGGTTGATTTCAAACTAGTTTCTAAGATTCTAATATAAAGTGACAAGTTTCCCTAAAGTTATTTCAATTAATCTAACTTCTATTCACTTTTACGTAAAGCTCTAAATAGTCTCGTAGACCACAGTTCACCCACCTATTATGTCTTCCTTTGGTTAATCTATATCTGGTCCACTTTTGAAGTCGCCTGTTGGTTAGTTCTTAAATGAATGATAGAAAAAAGCGGTAGAATTTCATGCTCACTCGCTTATAATATTGTGCCTGGAAATAAAGTTCGTTTTCAGTTGGCCTGCACGCTTGTAGTCTTAATTCTCAGGTTTCTTTTAGATGAAACTGGAAGTTCAGTTATATAGATGCTTCTAGTAATTCATTTTTGTGTTTCAAACTTTGGTTTATATATCTTTATGGTATTTCCGATTTTTTTAGGATTCTGCTTTATCTGTAGCACCTGGAGGATCTTCCGGTGATACCCAAGCACCTGTTGCGTTTTCAGATTCCGCGTCAGCATTGCTTTCCAAATTTGAGTCCTTACTAACCAATGGAAATAACCAAAGTTGTCAAAAAGATGGTGATCGCGTTTCTTGTAGTGTTGATTGTCCACGCAACCTTAAACCAAAACAAGAAAGAGGGGATACTTCCCAAGAAAATGATAAACTACCGGCTCCTAATACTAAACTATTATTGAAACCTTTAAGTTGTGAGGAATCGAAAGATTTATCTACCCAGTTTCATGTAAGTTTGTTCGATGTGAAATGGTCACTATAGCTTTTATTTTAAGTGTCGGATTGATTATTGATAGAATGTTTTCTTGGTTTTGTACACTTTTAGTAATGAGAACTTTCTGTGTTTTGTTCTGTGTAGCTTTAGTGTAGTTATTAAAACATTAGGCTCCGGAAAAATAAATTGCATGTTCGATCTTTGTTCCATCTACTTCAGTTTGAGAAGTTTAGAATCCCTAAACCTTAAACAAAGTATTCAGTAGTCTTGTGCTTGATAAAAGAGATATACTGGCATCGATTCATAGTTTTTACCGGAAGACGTAAGTTTAAGCTCAATAGTAAATGGAATAGTTTAATATATAGTTTATTCAATTATGTCGGAAGCTAGAGATACTAATTCTATGTTTAAATCTATTTTCGTAATTTAGATGCATCTATCTGAATTGCAAAGATTGATTGAAGAATCAGGAAGATTCGATGGAATGGTAAAGCGGCTTGTATTAATAACAAGTAAAGCCGTAAGTCGTTTTGTATTTGGCGCCATTGTATTAATCAGTCAGTCAGTTAGTCATACACAACGTAGAACCTGGGACATGTGTGCATTGGCTAAGGTTGCTACACTCCATTAGCATAACAAGATAAAGTTGTCATGACAGATCCTACAGTACTGGTAGCAGTATTAGTAATAATCATTAATGATAATAAATCTTTGATTTGATTCGAGAAGAAAATATGGATCTGTGGAATGATTGTTTCTTTTTGTTATTTGCCCTTCTCTGGCGCTTTATATTGTAGTGAATGTGGGCTCACCAATTCTATGGTAGTCGGTATTCGATATTTTCTTAAACTTCGCATACTGGTCGTCCTGATAACCGTTACTACATAACACCGAACGGTGTCTAAATCAGAAGACGAATACGAAGCGTTGATTACAGGCACACAAAGGTAAAATGATACCCGAGTGCTGAAGAGCGAGCGAACGAATGAACAGGATTAAAAATGTACATATGTATACATCGGCGGAGCTAACACTTTAAAAACTTCCTATGGAAATGCCATGAGTTATCGGCCTCAAGCAGTTGTTCCTTGGGCTATGCGATTACACTCCCAGGTCTCTAAGATCAACACTAATCTACCTTACTTTTCAGGTTCCTCAAGAAACATGCTTCCACGGTGTCGGCAGTCGTGAAGTAACATCCGCCCTCATACCTGTAACAGCACACGGGAACGAATCGGTCACAATCAAATCCTTTCTACACGCCCTAACATCTCTCTTATCTTCACGACTAATCCTTCTTTATCACCTCTCACCGCTAATGCAAACGGTTCGAGTTCACGAAACATCCGTGGTCTCCTGAAATCCTGTTCTAAATTACATGGGGCTTTTAGTGTCCGGACATTGTGTCAAATAGGACAACAGGCTTCCCTAGCTAGAACTTTAGAATCTCGCGCCATCGATGCATACCGCGTCTCTGAAAAGCGCATACAGGATCCGAGTAGCGTAATTTATTTTACCTCACTATGTAAAAATAAAGAAGCAGCCCGATTTACTCTTCGTGTATCTAGTAGCCCTGCCAACTGCTTCCCGGCGGCTAGCTGGTGTAGGTATAGCACTGAGTTTTAAAGCAGAACTAGCTCTCTTAGACTGGATTGCAGTTGATAGTCGCTCGCGCTGTTCTACTTAACGGGACAGTAAGGACTCGTAACGATAGGGACACTAGCCATTGTCTCTTCGTTGTATCTGCCTACCATCCCACTAACTGCACTTCAGACGAGGTAAGAGATGAGTTTTACAGAAAACTTTCTAGCCTTCTTCTAAAAGTTAGGCGCTCTGATGTAGTATTAGATGGTGACTTAAATACTCTAGTACGTAAACTAAGGGGAGAGAAAAGACCTGGGTGGATCTTATGGTGTCCGGCCTAATAGAACTGATAATGGCAACCATCTGCTGCAGCTATGCTCAGATAAGCGCCTATTTCTAGCAAACACTTACTTTAAGCACAAGGATAAATATCCTTTGACATGGCGACCTCGAAAGTCGACTCGATGATGAACCCAACTAGACCACATTGCTGTCAGTCATCGGTGGAGAGGCTCCATTGAAGTTTGCCGCTCATTCTGGAGCACATGTTTAGACTCAGATCATTTGTTTTAGCTTACTGGATGTAGGAAAGGCATCGCAAGGAAACCTCTTAGGGTTCTACTTAATGATAGCATAGCTAAGAATATAAATCTGGAACAACTAGACAGACAGTTAGGCAGGCATGTAAGTAATTCCCATTTTCAGGCAGCTTGGAATGACATCCAGAAAGCTGTGGAAACAGCAGTGATATCTGCTAGTAAGGTAAACCATAAGTTTAGGAAGAAGCCGTGGATCTCAGTAGTCTTTACCGTACTGATAGACTCTCGGAAGCTCATCCCTTTTGGCTCTGAACATGACTAAGAGCGGAATCAGCTTAAACGCATGCTGATAAAAATCCTACGCAATGATCGCGAATAGTGGTGGGTAGCGAAAGCAAGAGCGATAGAAAAGGCAGCGATGATAGGTAACATTAGACAACTGTTCCGCCTTATCAAGGAAATCGGTATTAGAAATCCATCTGTTAGCAAAACTATCTCAGAAAAGGGTGGATTTATGATTCATTCTCAACCCAGGAAATTGGATCGATAGGCAGAATACTTCAGGGATCAGTTCAACCGATCCTCATCCACACTCCGGTTGCCCACTATCTCCAGTCATCCCGAATGGCAAATCGATATAAGTCCTCCGAGTCTTTATGAAGTTCAAAAAGCTATAGGAAATCTGAAGCGAGAGAGAGCGTCGGGTCCTGATAGGCTTACCCCCGAGATTTTTAAGGATAGTAGCCCAGTTTTAGCAGTTAGATTGACTGAGATCTTAGGTAGAATCTAGGCACTGAGCGTGATCCCATCTGGCTGGCCCCGATCACAGAGGAATCAGTTTAACTAATTTAGTATCTAAAATATTGGCCTCAATGATGCTCGGACGTCTAACTATAGCTCGTGAAGAGCAGACTAGAGGACCAGGTTTGTTTTCGATCTGGACGTGGCTGTATAGACCACATCTTCGCACTACGACAGGTCCTCGAACATACACACATTTAATCGTTCGACAATACTTGTCTTCCTGGACCTTAAGGCGGCATTTGACTCTGTTGATCGTGAGGTTCTGTGGCAGTGTCTGTCATTAAAAGGTGTACCGAAGAAGCACATTAACCTTAATCAGGATTTCTACTCGAACACCACTGGTCGAGTGAGAGCTTATGGTGAACTGCCATCGGATTTCTTTACTTCAAGTGGTGTCCGTCAGGGCTGTCCACTCTCTCCATTCTTGCTCAATTTTGTCATAGACATGCTGCTAGATATAACCGTATCCTCGTCCGACTTTTCAGGAGTCGACTTTCTACCAGGAAGATCGCTTGCTGACCTAGAATATGCTGGTGATATAGTTCTATTCGGTGAAGACGCTGACAAAATGGAGTCTTCTGACTACCCTGAACAACAATGCAAGCGTGTTCAGGATTCGGTTTTTCTCCTCGAAATGGAAAATGTTACCTCAATACTGGGTTTCATCGGCACGTGAACTAGTGATAGGGAGTGAAGTAGTCGAACGTGTGGACCGCTTCACTTATCTCGGGAGTTTCATCAGTGCCCATGATCTGGTGACTGAGGAAATCTTAGCACGGATACAGAAGGCTCGATTGGCTTTTGCCAACTTGTGTCACTTATGGCGCAGGCGAGATATCCGTTTGCTGACTAAAGGACGAGTGTACTGCGCAGTAGTTCGCTCCGTCCTACTTTATGGCTGTAAAACATGGCCGTTAAGAGTAGAGGACATTCGTAGGGTACTAGTCTTCGACCATCGTTGTCTCCGAAGCATCGCTCGTGTATCCTGGGACAACCGTATAAGCAATGCTGTCGTTCGGAAACGGGTGCTAGGTAAGAATGGCAGATCAATAGATGAAGTAGTAAAACTTCATCATTTGAGGTGGTTGGGACATGTGTTACGTATGCCTAACCACCGACTGCCGCGACTAGCTATGTTTTGTAGTGTAGGAGTAGGTTGGAAGAAAGTTAGGGGCGGCCAAACCAAAACATGGCAGAAATCCATGAAGTCACTGACAAGTGGACTGAGTCATGTTGGTAGATGTAGGCTACGAGACAAAAGTCACCAATGGTTAGAGACCTTGAACGACATGGCTCAAAATCGTTTATAATGGCGCAGGTGCATCCACTATTTGTGTTCTCTCTAATTCGAACCTTCTGAATTCCTCATAATCTCTATCTTTCTGCTTGTAAATTTATCTCGCTGAATTATACTTATCGAATCATATCTTCGCTTCCTAATCTTCTCCATTACTGCTAATACTTCTACTATCGCTATCACTTTTGAATTTGAACTGACAGTTGCGTCTCTGTGCTAATGTGGTATGGCAACCTGATCTGATGTACTTAAGTACGAAGCTCTGCGTTGTATCTGTCTGTCTGTCTAAATCTACCCAACATCGAAGCAGCATCCACAAACCTTCCAATCAATGTTGGCCCACCAACAATTTAAGTGATTGGAGTGGCCATCAGACAAATCAAGAGCGGCAAAGCAGCGGGAACAGACAACATTCCTGCAGAGGCAATGAAAACAGACTTGGCATCAACCCCAAAAATATTCCACATTCCCTTCAACAAGATTTGGGATGAGGAACAAGTACCAACAGACTGGAACGAAGGATACCTGATCAAAATACCAAAGAAAGGCGATCTCAGCAAGTACGAAAGCTATAGAGGCATCACTCTTTTCTCAATACCGGGCAAAGTCTTCAACAGGGTATTGTTAAACAGAATGGTCTCCGTATACACCCAACATCGAGATCAACAAGCAGGATCTCGTAAGGATCGATCGTCTACCGACCAAATTGCAATATTAAGGATCATTGTGGCACAAGCAGTTGAATAGAACTCACCACTATACACCAACTTCATTGACTAGCAGAAAGCATTCGATAGTGTAGATGGGGGCTTTTTCGACACTACGGCGTGCCTGTGAAGATAGTCAGCATCATACGGAATTTTTATGATGGATTAAACTGCAAAATCATGCACGGAGGACAGCTGAGAGACTTGTTCGAGGTGAAGACCGGTTTCAGGCAAGGTTGTATACTCTCACCCTTTCTCTTCTGGTCATCAATCGACTGGATTATGAAGACGTCGACATCTGGAGGGAATCACGGTATGTAGTGGACAGCCAGGATGCAGCTGGATAAATAAGACCTCACAGATGATCCAGATCTTCTATCGCACACGCAACAACAAATGCAAGGGAAGACGATCAGTGTAGCGGCATCCTCAGCAACAGCAGCAGGTCTCAACAGACGTAAATGGAAAAACAAGATTATCCGATACAACACGACACGCGCCAACCAAATGAAACTTGATGAAGATGCCTTGAAAGACGAAAAATCCTTTACATACATGGGCAGCATCATTGACGAGCAAGATGGATCTGGTGTGGATGTGAAGGCACAGATCAGCAAAGTCAGGGCTGCATTTGTTCAATTGAACAACATCTGGAACACAACACTACAATCAACAAACACCAAAGTCACCATTCTCAATACGAATGTCAAGACAGTTCTAGTTGTATGGGGCGGAAACTTGGAGAACTACTAAAGTGATCATCCAGATAATATAATTGTTTATTAACAGCTGTCTACGCAACATACTTCGGATCCGTTGGCTAGACACTATCAGCAACAACCTACTATGGGAGAGAACAAACCAGATTTCAGTGGAGGAGGAAATCAGGAAAAAGCGCTGAAAGTGGATAGGACATACATTGCGGAAAGCACGGAAGTGCGTCACAAGACAAGTCCCCACTTGGAACCGTTGAGGTTGAAGGAAGATGGGAAGGCGAAGGAACACATTACGTGGAGAAATGGAGACAGACATGAGAAGAATGATTAGTAATTGGAGAGAACTGGAAAGAGAGAGGTCTAGGACAGAGTAGGTTGGTGAATACTAGTTGGTGGCTTATGCTCCTTTGGGGGTAGCAGGCGCATGTGAGTAATTAAGTAATATATATAGTCTCATTGTTTTGGCTCTCAAATTCCCTGGTACGGTTAGGGGGTGATGAGAGTCCCTTCATTCTCCTGAAATTCTCTCTTATGGTCATGCCAATATAACCATTGTATGGGAAGTTGCTCGCTGCACTTTTATGGGGAGGCGGTAGTGATTTCTGCGATATCGAAAAGACGAAAATGAATGTCCGGCGCTTAGGAGTACAGGAGAGTTAAAAAATCCTGATTCCAAAACAATGGTGAGTAGGGGTTCAAGGATCCTGTGGAGATAAATAGCGTACAAACCTGTTTTTAGATACTGACTGTCATGCGACCGCATCTCCTAACGTTGCTCCACTGCCTTGTGGATTATACCTCTAGATCTAAGGTCTGGTGGGGGGTTGGCCGTCTGTAAAAACCATCCGCTTCGGTTTGGACACCCAGCTAGCATCCCAGCCCACATAGAAATCTAATGATTTGTGTGACGTATATATACATATATTTATGTGACTGTTTGTTCCAGTGTTTGGGTGTTTAAATAAATAAATAATGTTTTGTTCTATACCATTTTAAAGTAATGATTTCTGTGCGTTCATTGTTGATACAATCTTAACATTGTTAATAGTGATCAGAATCTTTGTGCTGCGTGCTGAGTTATTTTTTATTCACTTCATTAGAATCTTGGTGAATCTACAAAATTGTTGGCCGATATTTCGAAGCGATTCTCTGAGCTTCAAATAAGTTTTAATTCATTGAAAGAAAGTTACAATGTAAGCAATATTGTAATTTAATAAATGTTGTCCTTTGTGTATATTCTGTCTTATCAAAACTGATATTTTGGTATGTCTGCTTTTATTTTATAATTAAGATACGAATCAAATTAGTTTAAACACTTGATTTCTTGCGTCGTCTTGAAATACTCTGGAATCTTCATACATAAAAAGCATGTTATATAGTGTTTGAAACCATTTAATATTGTGATACTTTTAACGTTTTTTGTATAGGACTAGCTCAAAAGTTGTCTATTCTTCCCTGGGAAATATTAATAGTAATCCCAACTGAAAAAGAATATTCACGTGTTCGACCGAATTCACTAATCTGTCTGTGATCTTCAGGCATTATTTTTCGTACCAGCATTTATATAAAGCGTACATAAATGCTTTGTTTTTTTAAACGAATGTACTACATGTTCTTTCTGCATACAATTTTCTTTATTTTTCAGTCACTTCACAATGAACCTCAACTTCCTCCTGAATTATACAAAATTCAGGTACATATATTGATCGTTTTTCCTCCAATGTTTACTAGTTGTTGAACGTTCAGTTACACGTTTTTTCACCATTTCTATTTTTATGAATTTACTGTTGTATTGTGAGCTTGATCCTTTAACTGATTTTTTCACATTTTTATCCTGTCTAAAACACAAATTCAGTGGTTTATTTTGTTGTGATATATATATATTTACAATTTTAGCTTTCCAGTTTTCGTGAACTTCTCCACAGTCTTAGCCGTAGTTTTGAATCAACCAAAGAATGCTTTTACACCATTCATCATCTTGTCAAAGCTACTATTGAACAACAACTGGTAAGCTTTCAGTTCTTTTTTTTTCTCTGTGTTTCTTATTGTGTTTTATACTACGATTATTATTTTAATGAATTCAGCGTAGCATTATATTCATTTGACATATTCTATTTATTTTATTTACGTAAAATAACATTACAGCCAAACCCATGGTATGACTTTTAATATTGAAGATTATGTTAAAAGGCATCACATCTTATTAGTCCTCATTTACGAATGTAAACATTTATTTTCCAGTTTTCAGTCAATGCTAAAACACAAAATGAGTATTCTAACTCTTTAAAACATTATTCCTATTGAGATAACTTAATAATACTATTAATCCTAGTATCTTATCTGTGTTCTTACTGTTTATTGTAGGAACATATTTGCTTTTGATGATTAGAGTGTTTTTGCGTAAATCTGCATCTCGCCTTATGAGTGTTTTCTTTTAACCACTAAATCTCTACACTCAACTTCTATGAATAATATGTCCTCATGGAGCACTGTAAGAATTCGTCACATAACTCACTTTATATCGATGTATTTTTTGTTCACATAGAAACGTAAGGAAAGATTTTGAGAATCCCTTTTCCATATATGTAATTAGATTTTGTCATTTGAGGGTTAATAAGAGAGTGCTTATTATCATAGACCTATTTCTACATTTAGCTTTTGCAAATATTCGATAGATGTATTTGTAAACTGTAGATGAAATGTTCACGTAAACGATGAAATACAACTGCAACTTCTTTGCTAGTCCTCTTCTAATTCATTCACTAATGTATGAACTAGATATTATACACATTGTCTTTTAGTATTATTTTACCTCGAGATCGCTATTTGTACATAAGCAACAACAATCTTATCGTGTCGTATTGAATTTTCGATTAATATTAAATATAGTGTAGGAATTTATAAGATACGGGGCTTACCCGTTGTTGTTTTAGAAGAAATCATTTTCATTCATCATCATTAGTTTGTTCTTATCATACATACGCATTACACTCGGGCTAAAAAGCAATTGATAAAGACCTATACTATTATAGTTCACTGGTTAGGATTTGGTTTTTTGAAATTCTTTTCTAAAAAATCGTCGTACAAAGTTTTTAACCAGTGTTATGCATTCTGTTATTCTTATCATATATTACAGAAACATTGTACTCTAATTTTAATGATAACCTAATCATATCCATCAATAAGGGCATCTATTTCTTATGTTTTTTTCAGGCGAATGGCACACTTCAGGATATAGATCAAAGTGATGACGAGAATAATTCAACTTTACCCGTTAATCCAACTGATTCTGTTATTGTACAAGATAACAATATGGAACTAAGTAAGCTGTGGAATGTTGATATTTAAATCATATCACATGTTTAGCACTTCTTTTCATATGAAGATATTCATTGATGATCAAAAGTTTACGGTTGTATTAATTAAATACATTTTTTAATGTTTTGTTTCACCAGATACAAACAAACAAATTAATGATGAACACATTGAAGATGTGGATCCTGAATTTCTAACTCAAAAAGCCTATTTATTAGCATTACAACAGCGTACTGCTCACGAAAAAGAAGAAATTGCAAAATTACTACAACAAAGAGATGAACTAGCTGGACGTTTGGCATCACTTAAAGCAGGTAATTTTATAGTTAACAAAATAAAAATATTAGTACGAATGATTTGTGGCGATTGCTGGTCATCATTGTTTGAATCACGAACTGACATCAGTTATCTAATAATTAAAAGCCGAGAAACATTAAGTAGATGTTTCATCCTAGCTTAGGGATCCTCATCGGTGTATATCCTCGATTCTACTAGGGATCTAGTCCAGGAGCTTAAGGCTTACCGGCAAGAAACTAGCCTTTAGGCTACTGCGCCAACAATTACATTCCTAACTTCAGTCAATTTAAGATATTGCACAATCAATTTTCATAACATTATTAGGTTATCTGTTGTTTATTTGTTCAGAAAGGACGAAGATACCTAATATTTTTTATAATAATACCTTTTTAATTCGCTTTATTAATTTAGCTGCTAGTAGAGCATCATTTGATACTCCTGTTAATTCTGGTGACTTGGTCGTATCAACTCAAACTGATATGGAGTCAGAAAATGAAAATGAGCGGTAATATAAACATATTCTTTCATGTTAAAAAGAAACTTAGTTTTTCTTTTTACAATAATTTTCATTGTTGTTTCACATTGTAAGGAATAATAATAAAAATAATCAGAATATTTTAAACTCAAGTAACAAAACTTTAATTGACAATTTAATGCAAAAACCATATTTTTACTTCTAGTAATGGTGGATCAATCAATGTTTCACTTGACATACTGTCTAGTCTGGAAACTAAGAAACGTGAGTTAAATGAACTAAAAGCTCAACTTGAGCTTCTTCGCAAGGCTGAAGCTAAAATCACCAAATTTACACCGGTTCTACAAGCTTCGAGAGATAAGCATGATTCAGAAGTTGCTCCTCTACCGCAAGATGCCTTGGACAATAAGCAACTCACTCCTGCATTACAATCCGTTCTTCCAGAAGTCGTTTCATCTCGGACAAGATTCGCAGTTTATAAAAACGACTCTAGTGATCCAACAAATACAGAACCCACTGGAAATGTCTCATTCTCATCAGATTTATCAAACAAAGCTGATTCTGTAACTTTTCAGGTACCTATTTTCGCTATTTTCCTAAATTCCCATTGTATCTAATGTTCCTATTTGAAGCAGGCAATGTTAAGATATGAATTACTTATTGTTAAGAAAATTTTAAATTAATCTTAAACAGTAACTTGACATCAATATGATATGCTAGAAAGTTGAATAATAATTGCTGACTTGTACGTCTTTGTGGGCCATACTTTTAAGTTTCTTTACTTACCTGACTGATATATTGCCTTTAGTAATCATATTTTCGTTAAATCTGATTTACCGGACAAAGTCAGACACATCACATTTTATCTCGAGGCCACAGGAAACGAAACGCAAGTGTTAGTGAACTATTAATGACAAAAGAGTTTGAAAATGGAACTTTTCGCATAGTTTTGATATTTTCTCTCTCCATAGTTAGTAATATGATAGTGGATTAAACCACAGAGCACAACAATGAATCTTTATTTGTATTCACTTGCTTCTGCTTGTTAAAAAGCGTTGCTGTCTGAAACGATTCATTATTTCGTAAAGGACTGTGGTTTGATCCAGTTCACCATTTTTTTAGTTGTCCAAAGCGCCATCTTTATTCAGCAACCTTAAAATATTACAAAATATCTGTAAAATTCAACGTAAATGCTTTCAGTTTATCTTTGAAATGTTTTGATTTATTTGTTCAGCAGCCAGAGGTGACCTGTATTGACAATACCGAGCGTTTGTATGTTAATATGCGTGAAGCACGAATTCAGATAGAAGAACAACGGAATCGACAAGATCGAAGCACTTCAACTATAGTCAGTAGTATCAGCTCTAGCGCTCAGAAACCGTTGCAGCATGTCAGTTGTAGCGGTGCTTCTGTTGCAACTAGTCAAGATCGAACAACTCTGGCAACTTGGGGTGGATCTTCACCTGTCCCTTCTTGTTCATCCGAAGCTTCTGAAGCAAGTGACGAAGGAGATGGAGTTAGTGTTTCTGACTCGTTACCTCCAAGTAAGTTTCTCCTTATTTGGCTATATTTGTCAGCTATTTGTAACAATTAGATATATGATAGGTTATTCAATTTTAGGTGTAAATAGTTACTTATCTTCCTCAGTCTTCATATTATTCTGCGTTACGGCCACACTGTGGTTGTTAATAAGTCTACATTGGCATTGATGGCAGCGTTTTACAATAAGTACCCTGGGTTATATAGTCAAAGTTAGTGGGTCACTACAATCGTAGTCTGTGTTGTTGAAAATTCTGCTTATCACCTGGAAGTACACTAATTATCAGTGATGTTGGTAGTTCATTCAAGTCACACGGATTCAAATCGCCTGTGTAATCGAATGGATAATTCACCATTTCTGTGTAAAAAAAAGTTAATATCGATTTCAATTTTCATTTTTTACTTCTCTAAGTTCTGAGGACTATGCTAATCTTAACCTCTCCTCTCTTTTCCTCTTAAGTTTACATTATTGTTAATATCGTTCGCATTTCCTGCTATTCCTCTTGCTGATTTCTAACAGTGCTAACCAATGCATTTTTGACAAATCTCAAGTTACAGTTTTATTAATTTGCCTTAGCAAGACGTGATTCAGAATAGTTCACAATAGTATAGATTCATGTACTTAATTTTTATGTTCCTCCAGATTTAGCCTTTAGGTACTCCTTCATGTATGCCATTTTCATCCTATTTTCTCAAACTATATTTTCAATGTTTAATCCCCCCTCATTATCATTGCTACTATTATTATTTCTACTCGTTTTCCACTCATCTCACTAGTTTCATCTCGTATGTCAACTTGGGCTAGCGCATATTTTTGTCACCAGACTCTACGTGATTATGACTAGCTGACTGACTGACTGTTTCAACAAGAAACAGGTTGTTTGCTTCCTTTTCTTTAGCTACTTAATACTTCTCGTAACATGTACATCATAATTAGATAGGGTTGTTATGTTCTTGAGATCATTCAGTGTATACGATACTATTTTATTTTAACTCAAGCATTAGTATTAGTTTACAATGAATAATAATCAATAGTCCGATTTAGCTCACTTTTTTTATGAGAATATTACCTATGGATTATCATACCAAATTAATATATTATAAACTCATAGAATAAATATTTGTTAAGCTGTATCATTTCGGCGTTTCATTTTTATGTAGAAAGGGCACAACTATAGTTTACCCAAAATTCATAACGGTAAACCAGTGAGAATATCTTAGAAGACCATTTCCCGTCATTTGGAAAAATGTAGGGAGAGAAAGTAAAAACAGATGCGTGATATGAAGTCAGTCAGTCATCATCACCATTGAATGTAGGATATATCAGTTATCTCAAGTTCCCATACCACATTAGTATGATCCAAAAGATTGGATCGATGGCAGAAAACTTTAGGAATCAGTTCAACTGGCCTTCAGCTACACTTCTCCAGTCATCCTGAATGGCAAATCGATATAAGTTCTCTAAGTCTTTATGAAGTTGAGAAAGCTATAGGAAATCTGAAGCGAGGGCGAGCTTCAGGGCCTGACAGACTTGCCCCTGAGATTTTTATGGATGGTGGCCAGTCGTATCAGCTAAATTGACTAAGGTCTTTCTCAATCGCTGATTGTCCCAGTGTATAAGAAAGGACAAAAGTCCTCTTGTGACAATCACAGAGGAATCAGTTTAACTAATATAGTGTCTAAATGTTAACCTCGATAATTCTTTGACGTTGAACTAGTGCTCATGAAGAGCAGACTAGAGAAAACCAGCCTGGATTCAGACCTAGACATAGATGAATAGATCGCACATTCACACTACGACACATCCAAGGACACAAACACACGTTCAGACGTACCACAATAGTAGTATTTCTCGACCTGAAGGAGGCATTTGACTCAGTGGATCATGAGGTTCTGTGGCAGTGTCTGTCATCGAAAGATGTGCCGAAGCAGTACACTGACCATGTACAGGCTCTCTACTCGAACACTACAGGTCGAGTGAGAGCTTATGGCAGACTCATCAGAATTCATTACTTTGAGTGGTGTCCGTCAGGACTGTCCACTCTCTTCGTTCTTGTTTTACTTTGTCGTAGACATACTTTTAGAGTTAAAATGATCCTCATCTGACTTTTCAGGGGTGGACCTGCTAACATGAGACTCGCTTGTTGACTTAAAATATGCCAATGACATAGTTCAGGTTGGTCAAGACGCTGATAAAATACAGTCTTCTAACTACCCTAAGCAACAATGCAAGAATGTTCGGGATGCGATTCTCCCTCTCGAAATGCAAACTGTTGTTTCAGCATTGGCTTGTGTCAGCACCTGAACTAATGATCGGGAGTGAAGTAGTCGAACGTGTAGACCGCTTCACTTATCTTGGGAGTCTCATCAGTGCTTGATGGCCTGGTGACTGACGAAATCTCAGCTCGGATACAGAAGGCTCTATTGACTTTTACCAAGTTGTTTCATTTATGGCGTAAGCGAGACATCCGTCTGATAACTGGAGGACGAGTTTACTGCACAGTAGTTCGCTCAATCCCACTTTATGGGTGCGAAATATGGCCTGTGAGAGTAGATGATATTGTGGGTTAATGGTTTTTGATCGTAGGTGTTGCGAAGTATTACTCGTGTATCCTGAGACAACCGAGAAAACAGTATTGTCGTTAGAAAACGAGCACTAGGTGGGGATGGGGAATCCTTAGATAAAGTATTGGAATTTCATCAGTTGAGATTGCTGGGACATGTGTTACGCATGCCTAACCACCGACTGCCTCGACGAATGATGTTTTTTGGTGTCGGAGTAGGTTGGAAGAAAGCTATGGGTGGCCAAACCAAAACTGGCACCAGTCCATGAAGTCACTGACAAGTGGACTGAGTCATGTTGGTAGATACAGACTACCTTGGTGTGGTTTGCGAGACGATAGTAACTGAGGGTTCAAGATCTTAAATGACATGGCTCAGAACCGTTTGCAGTGGCGCAGGCGCATTCATATATGATCTACTGTAAATTTAAGCTTAACTTGTACAACATCCTATTACTATTCAAAATTTTGAATTATTCATGGTTATCATTAAATGGATGTCAAGTGTGGAAGTTTTCCTAAAGTGATAGACAGCCAAAAGATTTTTCTTCACTACATTTTTAAAAGAGGTATAAATCAACTAGTAAGTTTTGTTGCTTCTTCGTAATCTCAACAGGTACTTGTCTTTCAGTGTCTGCAGTTAATAATGCTCCTAATATTATTCAATCTGTTCCCTACGGACATTCGAAAAGTACCACCAGCTCTGTTGCAACCAATTCTTTGGATATGCCTCGGGAACCAGGTTCAGTAATCAAGAGAGCATCAAGAAAATGTGAAAATATTCATAGAAATAATTCAGATAATATCTATGCTTCTACTACTGATGATGATCCATATAAATTATCACTTCCACAAGTTGGTCGAAGCCCATCTCCTCCATCTCATCACAAAAATAAATCGGGTAGCACCCAAACGCAGGATAATTTAAACAACTTAATTGATCCACGTTTACACTCACAACAAAATTCATTTGATGAACGCATAAATGCTTCTACTAACCAGAATACAGGAGTTCTGGGTCATATAGTTGTTGCATCGAATTGTAATGACTTTGATGATGGTCGAATGTCCGATCTGTCTAGTGCTATAACCAATGAACGTAAGTTGTTTGAGAAATTTCTATTGAATGATTTCAGTAGTATGCAATTTTCTTAGTTGATCATTATATACTAGTAGTTTGTAATACGTTCTCAAAACTACTTTAATTACAAGATTCTATTATTTATTTTTGTCGATCTGAAACTGTAAATTGTGAATTTCCGTATACACACCACAAATGTTACTACTGGGCTTTAATTCAATTTGTTAAAAATGATCAAGAGGTCTTATTTTCTGCGCGATTATTTAACTGAGGTCAATATAGTTACTTTACTAGTAAAACGTTTTTGTAATATACCATTATTTAAATTTATCTGATGGTAGTATTTAAGGAAGCTTCATAAAATCTTCGTAATTATTGTACAGTTATATTCTGGCTCTCAAACATGTGAGAGTGTTGTTCTGAAGTAATCTGTATTTGATGATGGCAAAAATTTTCTGTTATGAATCTATGATACAAGTTTTTATTTGCATTTGTACCGCATATAGTGATAACTGAAATCTTCATTCTAATGATGTTGATTATTTTGTTCTCATACTCAGGAAAAAAACTTTGAACTCATATCATGAGTATGAGCATTTTATGTACACGCAAATGTTTGTGTATCTGACTATGTGGTTGTATTAACTCTATGAACTATGCTCCTTTTAAGCATTTAAACTTTATTGCATTATTGTCAGCTTAGTTGTTTATCTTAACTAATGGTGACTCGAATACAATTCAAGTAGTACTAATACTCATTTTCTGATTGTTTTGTTAGCATATACGTCTCTTATTGTTATTTACATTGATGTGCCTGCCATAGGGGATTTGAATTCATTAATATAAGCAGTGCTTTATCAATTTCAGGAGTAGTAGTACTATTTTCTACTTGTCAGAACTAATGGTATTTTATTTTTTTCAAAAACATATTCGATAAAAGTACTCATTAGCTCTATTTATGAAAAGAGGAAACAACCTTTTATTTGCGATTATTTCTACTTTTAAATGTTTAATTAATTTTCACTTAATTAGTAGTTTGGGGTAAAAGCAAAGTGTGAAAATATCTTTCAATGGAAATATTTTCAATAGAATTACTGAATACATGCAGATATATAAAAAAGTGTCAATGTGTCTCTGCGTCTCTGCGGATTATTAGAATTGAACCAACGTTAGTGTTTCCTGCTTTTTATGCAACCATTTTTCTGTTTACTTATGAAGTTGCAATTGATTTTTTTAACTGGCCTATTACTACTTGAATTCCAAATGTTTAATTTGAAAGAATGAGTTAAATTTTTAATAGTTTATATATAGCTTTATGTCGATTTATGTGATACTTATGAATGTATTCTATGAAAGAGTGACTTTGGCTACCAGTGTTGTATATTTCTTTTTCCAATAGGGATTCAACGTTTAGAAACAAATGTGGCTCAGCTTTATCAAGTATGTCGTTGTTTAATGCTCGAGAACTCTCAGTTGAATTCTACAGTTACCCAGTTAATGTTACATAACTCATCTAATCAGCCTATTTCATCAGTTACATCTTTGGAGCCGTCCATTTCAACTCTTGGATCTATCGCCTTTCATCAGTGTGAATGTAGTTCATCTGTTCCAAGTTATAACCAAATATTATTAACTGACTCCGCAGCATCCTACCAAGCAATGCTTTATAGACAAGAGCATCCAACAAAGAATTTACCTTGTCCTTTGAATTCATGTCCGCGAAGCTCTGTTGTATATCCTCCTCGTTTAAGAGATACTGACCAGCCGATTACACAAAATGGTGCTCATGATGTTCCTCAGATCCAGGTATATTTAGTTTCTGTCGTTTCCGTTATTCTGTTTGGTATTATAATGTCCATTTTTCCAATCCGTTTAAGAGAATCATTTTAGTAATACAATGTTGTGATTATGTGACTACAAATGGGAATTTTCATATGTTATATGAACTAGGATAGTTGCATTTCGCATTGAAATAAATGTAAGTAGAAATCAGGACAGATGCAGACTAGTTTACCTATAGGTTATTTATAACTCATTCATACAGTCATAGGTTAGAGAATGCAACTATGTTTTAAAATATGTATGTGAATCTCTGTACAATCAGACATCTTTAATTCGTTGTATATTATAATTGATTTCTAAAATGGGAAATAATTATTGTTCCTTCAGAACCACTGATCAGTATCACGTGCCACGTCACTAATCAGAATTGTCAATCTAATTCGATCCATTGCATGTTTACTGCTTACTCGATAGCCTAGTGTCCCCATATTGACTAATTACACGTCCGACCTTGACTCGATGCAACTAAGTTCATACTGATCCATTATTGTCAAGCTTCTTTCAGTGTCCTCCTATTTTGAGTTTGAAATTCGGCAACTAGCTTCCATCATATTTCTATTTCAGAAATTGACGCGGCTTGTCCACAAACTGTATATTAGGAATCATCACGCCATGAATGAGAAATAATAAACATACATCAACAAGCCAAAAGTGGCTGCGAATAGGGGATATTCTAAATAATCGACTGGCAACAAATTAGGAATAGTAATTTGTGTGGGCTTGACTATCATGATAACCCAGCCGAGCTATACTGGTTGGAACATATGTTCCTGAAGGTTCTACTATGCCAGGCAGGTCGATTGGAGGACGATGAGACTAAAAGCAGCTACCCAAGGTCTGAGGGCGAAGTCGTACTGCTGACTGAAGAGGGGTGTGACAGCAGTAAGGTATTTCCCTCGGACAACCAGCATCTGCAGCGATGCTGCCTTCTGACAAGGAAGGAAGGGTTAGAAAAGGTCGGTCCTGAAAATGTCACACCTCACCCTACCTCACGGATTTCCGTCTCCGTAGGTAAGACTGCCCAATAAGGGCTTTAAAAAGAGCGGAGCTATTACTCAAAAACCCTTTGATAAAAAAGGCCGTGCGTAACCGGCCTCAAGCAGTTGTCCCTTGGGCTCTGCGGTCACGCACCCAGGTCTCTAAGACCAACACTAATCTATCTTCCTTTTCAGGTCCCTCAAGAAACAACCTTCCACGGTGTGGGCAGCCGGGAAGTGACAACCGCCCTCATACCCGTACCAGCTCACGAGACCAATTTGTGTGATAGTACTTTACACATAAACTGAAAGCTTTTGTTAAACAGAATACATAGACATAGCAACCTAGTTACTTGATTATTATACAGTCATAATATATATAGCAATAATAATAATCAACCAATTAGTTCTGGAAGTTACCAATCCTTCAATCGTCATTCTTGTATATCAGTAGTAGTTTAAGGAATTATGTCGTAAATTTGAACTCCTATCCTTTGACTATTGTTTGGTTGACCGACTAGTGTCACTGGCCTTCATAAGTAGAATGGTTACCTCATAACTGAATGTGTGAATTTTTATTTCTATACTCAGTTACATTAGTCTCAGCAACCAAACAGGTTTTTTGATGAATTTTTTGGTATAGATATATTCAAACTAACTAATGTAGTTTATAGAAGGTTGTAGATCCACTATACTACTGATGAAAACTTGTTTCATTTATTAACCGTAATCTTTTCTCTTTAGCTGCTTATCAATCAAATTATGCAACAACAGTCTAATCTTACTCAATTGCAATTGGAACTTCATCGTTTGACTCGATCACAGACACAAATTAAACCACCACTTCTTCCTACTGATGGTCGTTTCCATGGATCTTTACAATCTCATCCAGAGAATGCTGGGTTAAATTTTCCATCTGTTACTGCTCATTTACTACCGGGGACTACAGGATTTCCTCCGCCTGTCAATGAGTCGATTGGACGTCAAATTAATTTTACAGGAACCACTAATTCTCCTCAAGTACTTGGAAACCCTCTCATTTCACCTCAGACTTTGTCGGCTAACTGGTCTTTGACTACTGTTCCAAATGTTTACCAGTGTTCCAGAGAAGGTAATAATCGTTAGATATTTGTGTATTACTCATTGTTGTATGATTAAGTTTCTACTAACTATACTACAATAATTTTGCTTAAGACCACTCGAAATTTTTTAAGATTACTTGATTGTTGTGGATTGATCAAATGCACATCTTTAAAGTTAAGTGTAAGGTTGTATGCAAACAGTGTAAATTATTTAATGAGGTTTTGAAACAATCGACTAATAAAATTGAGCAATATGTCATACACTTCAATGCCTGGTATACTGTAATATCTAATTCTAGATAAATAAGGCGTGTAGTTCAGAAAGAATTTCGAGGTTTTCAAACCCGGACTTAACACTATTCCGTAAAATACTTATTGTCAGTTTGAATATCATCAAAGAGTGTAGACTTTTGAGTAAGGTTTTTCAATTTATAGAAATCAGTAGTTGGTAATGTATTGACACTTTCCTGATTTTCCTGCTAAACTAATGTTGTTCTTATTTATTTAAACGTTTTCCTCTGACATTTTTCTTTGTATGTTACCGCGAAGTTTGACCATCGAACGGTACATAAAGAAGATAATTTTGTCTAGGTCAAATAGTACGTTAAGTTGAATGCAATCAAAGATATTCATCCATATATATTATAATAGATTTAAAAAAGTGGTAATATTGATTAAATTCTGTCATTTCACTGACCACCAATTAATCGATCAAAAGTTTTCCCGTATTACAGCTATTTTTGAAGAGGTTCAAAATATTTTCGTATATCATAAATTTTATAACTTTGAACCATCAAAATTTTAGGTATCATCTGTTTATTAAACTATTATAAAAGTAGTTTAATATGCCTAATTACCAAAAAGGTTGTCATTTTCTAAAGTAATTTCGAAAAAATTCAACGACAGACTTAAATAGATATTTCTTGATTCATACATAGCCTAAGCATCACAAAATATTTGGACAGTCAATAATCTAGATCTGAACATGAAGTTATTAGATCAGTTGCATATATATATTCGTTGTCAATATATCATGCTGTTAAGCGAATATATAAAAATTTCTTTTCGTTTATTGAACCCAATGCATATCGTTATTCTGTATGTTTGACACTAGTTTTATTTGTATATTTTCAAACAGCTATTTGTTTAAAATACGTTATTTTTTCTGCACTGATGACTGCTGAGATATAGAATATTAGTGTCTACTTGAATAATGTTGAAGTTTAATTCTGTATAACAGTTATAACACTGTATCGTTTGTGTAATGTGTATTCATATGTAAACCCCCTTAATTCATAATTATGTCACTCGCGGAGTGTGACTAGACTTCAAGGTATTGTGAATTGAATGATATCCAGTTATTTCCCGTCTTTGTTTTGTTTTAAAAATGAAATTTTGTTATAATGAATATAATATTTTTAAATAATTTATCAGTAAAACGCAATCATTATCAAATTTTATTAACTTATTAATATTATATAATGTTATCTTGTTTGTTACTCGTATGTGATGCTAGACGTTCATTAACTCAACTAGTTTTTTATCAAATTAATTTTATATATAGGTCAAAGGCCACTTGTACAAACTGCATCTATTCCGAGTTCTTTTTTACCAACTGATCCCAGTGCAAATTTAACATCGCCTCATAGTTCTTCTATTAGTCAAAACAACATTGGTAAGTTTTCAGCTAAATGCGAATATATAATCACTTTAATGAATTACATTTCTATACAGTTCTTATGTGCTGAATTATTTTCTATGCATCATGGAAATTTCTAGCTTTTATTTAAACAAATAATGAATTTGTGTAGTTGCACTCAAGCCTGTTTATTTAAACTGGGGTTTCAAAAACTCATGATTTGTTAACTGAATACTTAAATCAATAAAATGTAATTACTCCAAGGAGATTTTTTTCAGTAAAAAAAGTGTTAATTATAAACTAGGATTTTCGACGTATGTAAATTTTTGGAACTGTTATTATCAACTTATTCGACTGATATCAGTGTAGATTTAATATTCAGATGGTCTTAATTTTTTTACTTATATTAGTATATGTTACTTGAGACTAGACATTACAAACTGTCTATTAATTACTTCGCATAAACGTTATGTCCATAGTGCTAAGTGTATCCTAATTCGCAGTTGAACTCGATAAATTTCACTTGGATAAGTTTGCTATATGGACGCAAGATCGGAATTCCTATCCGATCCTAATAACCTTAAACTAAATATACACCGCGACTTGAACGCAAGAGAAAAGGCACAAAGTTTGAGAAGAATGCTTTGTTCCAAGGTCACTATGTGTACAGAAAAATGAGAGTATTTATAGAGTTGCTTACTACCTTGGGCTTTTGGAAGGTTCAAAATCAATATTGAATATAGTGACTGTATGGCTAAATATCCAATCAGAATCGTGGCACTGGATTCTTCATTTACCAGATGCTTTTACGAAAGTTCTGTTCAAAGCTTATCGTATGGAACGTTTCCTAGAGCTTCTGGGCTTCTATAGACCTCTCCTACATAATCTTTTGGATGTTCGTGGTGTGTACTTGTCCTGCATCTGGTTGAAGCTATGTATGCTTTCATTATTAAGTCTGTTGTGGAGACATCTCACTAATTCGCAAACACAACAAATAACTTTTTTTATCTATTAGATTTGGAAAATTTAAAAATAAGAATTGAATTGAATGTGTTTAAACTAAGATGCGAAGAATGTCTTACTTGTGTATGCGAGTTTACTGTGTCCAATTTCTTTGATTCACTGAATTTCACTTCTTTCTTTTTCTTAATGGCAGACTTATTTTTGACAAACCTCGTTTTTTCTTGATATTACAGGTTTCAATAGACATATCTAAAGATGAATCAGAAAATATCTCATATCGTAATGTTTGATCTCGATTTGGTAATCAATTTTAAACACAATTAATTTTATTGTTGCATTTAGTTTTAGCATTTTCTATTTTATCCCTTATCTTATTTTCACAAAAAAATGTGTACGTTTCTTTTTAGTATGTAACAATGTGCTTAGATTTAATTGTTTCGTTTTATGCTCATTCTATATTTCAAACATTGACAACTATTTTTAACCGATTCAATAAATCCTCTTTATGTGCTCATTATTTTAACATTTATTTCTATTAAAAAAAAATAATTTTAATTCTTTTGTAGTTAATTTATTAGCATCTCCTACAGTCTTCATATTCTTAACCCGAAAAACAAAAAAAAATTAGAAAACAAATTAGTTGTAATTTAATTCCCCCCCCCCTAATGCATTATCTATTACAGATTATCTGTTTTATGGTTTGTGTTTTCCTTATTATTATTAATATTATCTTATCAACACTCAATGCATTAAAATAAAGATGAGATGTTGTGACTTTTTGTTCAATCATCTTGTTTGTTTTACGTATTTATTATATACTCATTGAATTAAGTCATTAATATATATTTAAAACAAAAATATTTATTTCAATACTGATTTTAATTTGACTTATCTGCATAAAAAGAAACTTTCTAAATTTAGTGTAAACAGATGATCATTCAGGTAAATGTCATACAATAAGTTTGCTGTATTATCAACTGATCCTATCTGTACTTGATTAATAGGCTGTATTTTCCGATAGGTTGAGACTGCATTCTAGACTGTACGCTTAATCATATCCATAATTATAATTTGTATACTGACGGAACCAATCTATTTGGAATACCTAATGTTTTGCATATTCACTTGATTTTACGAATACATTAACTATGAAAAGGTGTAGATGTGTTTGCTGCTGTGACATATTCGTCCAAGGTGTTGCACATCTTATCTAAAGGAGATGAAGTGATGGGGGGAATGATAAAAGTTATTTAAATTAAAGTGTAATCGTTTGCAACTCATTTTGAATAAGGCTTAATTGTCACTACTACCACAGTGTGGGAATCTCATAATTGAAGTTTCTTTCAGTACCGTAGTCATCGATAATAGATCATATTATTTCTGACTTGGATTTTCTTTAAACTAAATGTCAATGTTTGCTATACCTTCAGTTTTACCGTGAATGGGCGTTGCTTCAACTTGACGTGTAATCAGTTAATTTCGACGGAAATATTTTTACTTAGTGAGATATGAAGTACTTCTGCTCTGTATATAGGAGTTTTGGCAGACAATCGAATATTTTACTTTGATGATCTCTAATAGATTTCATTACCATCTATCTATATGTGTGCGACCAGACACTATTCCTTTGGTTTGATTTGATTTAATTTTAATTGTTTCAAACGATGTTAACGATATGGAAAATGAAATAAATAATGTTGCATCCCATTTAGTACGAGAAAACAGCTAAGTATTTTAGTAAAAGCATACTTAAGCAACAAATTAATCAAATGCAAGGTAGCGATTCGGATTTATGTATGAAATTGAAAATTCAATGACAGTCTGTATCCCTTAATGGTAAATAACACCTTTATTCAGTGCTCAAATCATTTAAACTTAAGAAATCATGATCTATTGTGCAGACATACGATGAATAGGACATAGTATCTAAACTAAGAAAACCATTCACTCTTTTTAATCCTAATTTTATATAAAAAACTTAGTACGAATCCTCTCCTTTGTATGTTATTCATAGTAAGCTTTTAACTAGTTCATTTCATTACTAACCCAATGAATGTTAAACACTTTCCTCTAGTACAGATTACTTGGAAATGTCAGAAATTTTATGAACATAGTTCTCTTATTATTGTTTCATAACATAATTATGCAGAACTTTCAGGGAGTATCCACACAATTACTGTTAAAACTCATGTTGAACACTTATATGACCTGTAAAAAAACAAAAGCATAAATCATTTGCTGGAATTATGAGTTTGAAGTAAAAACAGTCGGTCATAGTATTCAGAGAGTAAACTGTATATCTTTGAAAATCTGACAAGTACCGTAACGCTAGCACATACTTTAAAGCTTCATTACTTGAGTAGCAAAAAATTGATCTTTGAAGCCAGTCTACTCATTCGTAAAGTACAGAATATAAGTATTCTGAAATCATTTTTGGAGTCTCTAAAATTAGTCGTTGAAGTTTATTTGTAGCAGTGTTTTTCTTATACACACAACAGTATTGGAATATGTTCAACAATCCATAAAATGAAAGATCAGCTAACATTAATAACATAACATTTCTGTTCAATAAGCGAAGTGGTTTTGTATTTCATAAATAGTTGTATAACTTCTAAGTTACTATATTTCATTTTTCTGAAAATACCTGGCTGCCTCATAATTCCAAATGAGTTAGTTATGCGCAATGATTTCTTGAACAACGTGTTAATAAGAAAATATTCGACATTTATACACAGACTACTATATATATATATATATATATATATATATATATATATATAATCGCATGTTTGAAATATTATAAAGGCTGAATTCCGGACTAAAGGGTACGGTTGAGTGTAGAAATCTACAAACTTGTGGGGCAGTGGAGGATTTGGGTTGACTCAGGGTTATCGGTGTTGAAAACGGAATTCTGATTTGGTGTTTTGTTCTTGTCACGTGATGTTGGTCAATGGTTAGGGAAATAACATATGTAAATGTTATCAGACAAGGCATACCATTTTCAGCGGAGAGTTCTGTTGTTTGTGCCATCGCTGGTTATTGATCATTAGGATGCTTTTCAGCGTATCTTGATATATTTATCTCCAGCACAGAAGTATCAGTACAAAGCAGCACCAAAAACTATGTTACACAAATTAAGACAATGATATTGTAAAGGGGCATAAATTGGAGACATCATTTTATCAGTCGGTGTGTGGGAATAACGCTTGTTAAGATATAGTTCTGCCAAGATGAATTCTGTATTTCTACTCCTACATACTCGTACATTCTACCTATCAAAACTATACTATCGGTGTTAAAAATGGAGCAGATTAGTATAAGCCATTTAGGCTTTCATGATGTATAGATTTACCCCAGCTCCCACACCACCACTGGCCCTCAGAAGCATGAACGTCTACTATTTCCTGCTTTATTTTACAATGCATGTGTAGGTTCCTGTAAATTTCACAGAAATACTACTGTGTAATGCGAAGTATACAGTAGTCGCTTTGTATAATGCTGTGTTTAGTATGGTAGGAAATTCTCAGCTATACGTCATGAAATTGAAAATGCGATCTGAGCAGCTTCTACCATCAAAGTAGGGCAATTTTAGTTGCATCTTTTCTCGAGTAATATGTCCACACCTCCATGTACTTCTTAATAGCTTACTGAATATCATCGGCGACAGAATTGAAGGTTAGATTGGGCAACTCAGATCTCACTACTAGAGTGAATTAGTGGAGTGGTAGTAACACGTACGGAGCTTTTAAAACGCTAATAGGCTTTTTAAAAACCCTTCAGCGAACTCCTATTCAAGGAATGGATGGTGAGCCTGATATCAAGAAGTAACATATCTTGAGATGACTGCATATTATAGTGGCCTCATCAAACTACGCGATTCACCATGATATGGCTTCCTTTTCTTAGCAATAAAGACGTCCTGTTGGTTGAAAAATATGACTTCTGCTTCTGAGGGGCAAATGTATATGTATGTACTGTTATTACTCTATTCAGTTAAGTGATATAAAGCTTAGTCAATAAATTGGCCGGTTTCGACCGTGGATAGGATGCTTGTTTATCAGTAGCAAGATCAGTCGACACACAATATCAGTTATGTTTAAGGATTTTAGCAGATGCTGAAGATATGATCAATCCACTAGGCTAAATTTGCTGAGTAATTTCTTCACTAATTCCGCTCATGATGTGGGAATATTACGGGACTTGATGCTTGAGAAGCGATTGCACGCATATTTATTCCTCAGTATTTGTCATTTTGTTTACACTCGTCTTTTTAAAAGGCGGATACTACAATCACTTCATTTGATGGTAATAAAACACTTTATTTAAGAAATTATTCCGAATGAACTAACCGATTTCCTGACTAGAACTACGTCTTCATCCTTGCAAATGGCCAGTTGCAAGTCTTTTGAACTAGGTGACTCGTGATACTTCAAAATTTGTAGTTCCTTGCGGACCTATGCGTCATCGATTAGGTATGCGGTTATATGCCAAGGAACGTATGACATTTTAGACAATGTTACTAAATCAGTAGAGTAGTTAAATTGGTGTATAATGTAATTTAGCTATCTCTCAAGATACTTTTTACGACTAATAATTGGCATGCCATTTCAAACATGGCTTGTTTCGCTAGAACTAGTTTTTTTTAAATACGATGCTTTGGACAACTTGAAATTCTGGGTAGCTGTTAAATCTACCCGATGTTCTCAGTTCCCCAAATAGCCCTGATTACTCGGCTCAATGGTCCTTACGAACTCATGAATGGCCTACCCACTACGTCCTACTATAAGCCTTGTAAACCTTGTCTTGACAAAGAGACTGGTTTAGTATTATTAGACATGAAATATTACGTTAAAGTAATGCTGTTGATGTGGCAACATTATTGGAGATTAAATTTATATCTTTTAGACACAAACAAACATAACAAATAGTTTAACAAAGTCGTCGATAAAGATATTCGCATCTATCTCTAAATGAAAGTTTTAGTGCTACAGCGACTTCAATACTTACTGTTTGTGTTCTTCAAGAGTCTCCTTCAATCAACTCAGTCTAAAGATTGAGCAATAAGGATTTTGTCTATTTGCACCATATAAAGTGCTTGTTATATGGGTGTAGTACAAAATTTGTATTTTAATCTATTGATTTAATTGAAGACAGTTACATACGAAACAACATGGTGGTATTATTAGTTGAAAACTCATTTCTCATAAATTCATCACTACTGGAAACAATTTTTTTTTTTAATATTTTGTTAAAATAGTGGAGGCTGAATAACTTTAAATCTTCAGCCAAAAAATCTCTATTGACCTTATTTCAATGTTTAGTATTAAAGTACAGTTTCATTTAACAATGAATTATTCAAACATTCCCAATAAATATACTCTTTAATTGTTGACCATAGATACTTGTCTACCAGAACTACCTACCTTCATTCAGATATTCATATTATTGGATGTATACTGATCAAATGAAAAATGTAATAATTCTTTATGAAAATTGAATCAATATAGATTTATTACCTAATTTAAGTGGTATGCATAAATTGACTGAAATTTTTTAATAATCATAAAAACAATAATCCGTTTTTCTCTTCTGAATTTGTTTCTTTAGGTTTCATCATAAGCTGCAGTAGGATGTAATATTAATAATCTATATGAAGAGAATAACACATTCATTTTTGTAGTTTCATGGAATTTGGGTGAAAGCAAACGACTAATGCATGGTTCAATATATATATGTTAGTGAAGCAATCAATAAGATTAAAATAGACTGGTTATTGGAAAGCACATGATTAGTGGTACAAAAAGTTTATTTACTTGTACTATCCAACAAAAGTCACTATTTA